GAACTCATAAACTCTATCAAAACTGAATTAAATTGAGTAAAAAACTATTTAAATGCGAAGGTTGGATTGGTAAATCATCCTTCACAACAAGACATGTGCATATAATAAGTGTTGAGGATAGAATTAAATATATAGGAGAAGATATATTTTTATGTATTAATTTTAAAATATAAGAGATTCTTTAAGGCAGAAAAAAATGTTTTATATTTTTAAAGTTTTTTGAATCGAAATGTTATGAAGATTATAAAAATGCACTAAATAAGTACAGCTATTCTATTTAAATTTCTGTCTTTGGTTGATGTATGAGTATTTTTTTTCCTATGTTTTTTAATAGAAATATTGAAATTTTAGTTTTAATTTTAAAGCAAACATGTATATCAAATATCAGTAATAGATATGTGTTAATTTGATATTAAAATGAAAAGAAAATTCTAAGTATATTTTATGTATAATACAGAAACCTATTCTTTGGAAATAAATAAATGTATTTAAATAGAAAAGCTTCTTGGTGAAATGAATTATTTTTATTTTTTATAACCTTTTTTAAGTATTGTCTGTTTACAGTACAGTATATGCTTCAAGTGATTCACTCGTTTGAAAATTTAAGAGTTTATGAAGCGATTATTCGCTGAACTTATGTGATATTTGTAAGTTTTGAATACGAGTAATCTGAAGAGATTTGAAATCGCATGAAAGAAACATCAGATGTAGTGTATGTCCTAAGAAATTTAAGTTTGTAGTTTGAAAAGTCGCGAAGCTTTCTCGTCTTAGAATTTGTAGTGAATAATCACAAGTTCTTTTCAGTAAAAAGGATATGAAAACTTATAAAGTTACTTTTAAGAGTAAATCGTGATAAAAAAATATTTAGTGAGCATAAGAATTTAAAACAATATGAATCTTTACATCGTATTGAATTTCGGACATTTTTTCAAGTAAAACGAATTTGAAGAAATCTCACGAACCTTTTCTTTTTTTTTTTTTTTTTTTTTTTTTTTTTTTTTTTGGCTGGTGTCAAAAGAAACAGAAATATGCTGATGATGATGTTTGAAACAGCATGATACTCTCTTCTATAAAGTTGCATCCATTGTTTACAAGTGTTTAAAAGAAAAAGTGATATCTACACCACATTCGAATGCGACATGATTTGATGTGAATTTATAAAAACGACGAAACTTGACATCGTTAATACATGCAAGTCTTCTAAAATCGCAAGTCTTAATAGTATGTTCACAATTGAATCGATTGCTAGAACACAGAAATGATCATGTCTTAGATGTACTTCTTGATATATAAAATTGTATTAGTAGGGAAAAAATGAGTTGATGTAGTTTTACACTGATTATGATATCGTGTTTGAAATGGTAATCAATAGTTACATTTAAAATGTCCGTGAGTGTGAAATGCAGAAATAAAAAGCTTTGGCGAATTTAATAAACTTGGTTCTGTGGTTGATGGAAAAATTTGTCCATGTGAATTAAATAGTGTAAGATATGAACCTCTTTCTCTCAATAGTTAATTATTCAATTGTAAGACAATTAACTTTAATATATGCATATGTACAGGTATGAGTAATGTACATGATTAATTAAAATGAATGATATGCGTTAACATAGTGAATGTTCGCTTTCATGAAGTTCTAAGCAGTACTTTAAATACCATAAAAAACTTTATTATCTCATAATACAACATGCAATATCTATTGAGTTTTCGTTATTCTTGGAATGTATGAAAGTTTAAATATTTTTTAATTTAATGTAGATTGGAGTAAAATTCCGTATTTTCTTCAATCGGTAATATCTTGTATGCGGGAAATCGTATGTGCGTAAGAATTATACTGAATATATTTTTGACAATCTTCTTTCATTCATAAGCTAATAGAGAATTATTGAAAAAATAGTAAGGTAATGAAAATCAACATTATTGGAAAGAAAACTCTAAAATTTACATTTCCAGAATATATCAAATCCTTTCTTAAAAACCCAGGTATATCGTAGTTTTATTTCATTCGTTAAAAGCGAACTGTAAATAAAATTTTCTATTAGTGGAGGAAACAAAAAAAATCAAGAGACAATCCTATCATGATGAAATTCAATTCATCTTAAAAGAAAGAATATTCTGAATCTAATGTTTAGCCATTGCCAAAATGGTGTTATTTGTGGTAAATTAACTAAACCATTCTTATCACAGTAAGTTGCCTTTAATGGGTAAAGTGTTAGTATATTTTCTGATGGAGGATAACTGTAAAAATTCTAAAACCCGCATGTCAAGGAGCAAGAGCTTGATTTCCTTCTACGCTACGTCAGTTACAGGTTAAGGGGTGGCTTGAATGGATAAAGTAATGTTTGTGTAAAAATATAGTAGTTCTATTTTGAAATGAAAAATATTCGTTTTTTGTCAATTAAGGAAACTTGTGGTATTATTAAACAGAATCAGTGAAAGACATTGCGTTTGCATAGTGAATTAGAAGGTACTGAAAGGTAGTGAAGAAGGTGATGAAAGAATTAATTTGAACAAATAAGGTAAGGCTATCATTAAAAAAAACTGTTCAAAAGATGTATGTTAGAATAAACAGTAAGATGTTTAAAATTTAAAAGATGTAACAGAGTAAAACCAAAGAATACTGGTAATTCCCAGGGGGAAAACAATAATTTGAGTACGATATGAAAAAGTTGGTTTTAAGTTTTCTTTATGCATTGATGCAAAACAATTGCTGTTTATCATGAGTGCTGACATAGATGCAATTAGTGCAGGAAAAATAGTAAATTATATAGTAGTGTCTCTACACAAAAAATAATAGTGTGAGCAGTGTAAATTCATTTAAGGATGAAATATGACATAGACTAAATATCAGAAAATGTAAAAATATTTTGGTATGTTGGATGAAACACTGAACGTGGTTGTAAAATTAAAATGAAAATTATCAACACACTTAAAGGTAATCGGGATTTAAAACTAAACATGATGTTGAAACTTTGAAGACCATAAAACTATATGAAAAGAAATACATTTAGATATAAATGGTATTAAACTGTAAAGTTGTGAATGGAAATTTCTGAGTAAAACCTGTAGATGATCTATTATGATCGAGAATAAAAAGTATATAAAAATTGTAAGGAAATATTTGAATATGGAGTAAATAAAAACATCCATATCGTTAAAATGAATAAAAAGGGATAAATGTTGGAATTACGAGTGATAGAAGAAAAAACGTTATAATAAATAATTAAGCTGGAATTAAGAAATATAAACACAAAGGCAAATCATGAACGTAGAAAGCAATTAACTGTTATAGACTTAAGTTTTTTTTTTTTTAAATATCGGTAATGTAAGGAAGATATTGTTAAACACGTGAAAGAAATTAGAAATTCTTAAAAATAGTAAAAACTAAGATCACGAAAAAACGTTTCTTTTTAAATACATTTCATATCGCTAAGTTAAAGTGTGATAGAATACTAGAATGGTTTAAAACAAAACAAAAATGAATTAAAATTCAAATAGTGAACTTTAAACGTTAAAAAAAATGTGAAATTGCATCTAAAATTAGTAATAAAAATAAACGCACGTGCGGAACGTTTTTGTGAAATATTAACGTATAAGTTAAAAATCAGGGTATTCTGAAATTATGAAAGGTATGAAAAAAAATAGTAATAAATAAAATATTACAAATAAATAGAAACTTAAGTATTAAAAAATATGACAGTAAAGAAGTGAATGGTTATGAAAACAGAAAACCGAGGAATAAGTTAAAGTTTCATGAAAAACTAGAAAGGATCAGAATAATCAGAATAAATTGAGTAATAAAAAAAATTATCTTGTAGTTACATTTTCAAACTGATGAACTATCATTAAAGAAAAGTCTTTGTTTTTTTATATTTGTTTCTTTAATTGTTTTTAGAGTCGCGCATGAATCATTTTAACACCAGACTTAAAAAATATTTTCTAGAACATATATTCACTTTTCCATTATAGAGGGCAGCATGCTATATCATCAAAATTAAGATGCAGAAAATATTTCTGTTGCAATTTAAAAAAAAAACCAACTTTAAATGAAAGCAGGGGGTCTACAACTCAATCAGCAATCTAAAAACACCTCAACTCCACTCGTGACCACGCCTCCTAGTGTGATGACGTTGCCTTTGGTCCCGCCCTCTGTGTGACGTCATCGACCACGCCCACACCGCACACCGCGTGCAGGTGAACCCCCATTTTCTATCTGCTGTTACTAGTTACCTTACCAAACTCTTTATAATTCATATTTTCGCTCAGTATTTAAAAACTATCTAATTTGCATTTCTGGTGAGGCTGACAGAAGCAATATAAAGATTGGACAGATTTAACGTAAAAACAATATCTTATTTAACATAAAAATATTATCAAATTTCAGTTGAAATCTTAAATATTTTTAAATAACCTTTTAAAATTTATGAATTTTTAAGTAATCTATTAAAATAAAATATGTCGACGAAAGAATAAAAATAAATGTAAAAATCATCATGGACATCTGAAGTCCTTCTAGAAAACTAAAGGCTTATAACTGAACTAAAGGTCTATAACTAAACTAAAGATCTATATAAGAGCTGAAGGTCTCGGTGAAGTAATGTTAGTGATCTACGCGAAGTTTTGAATTAAAAAGTATCTATTGGTTTTATCTGGAATCTCTTTCAAGTTTCCTCAAATACCTCGAATCTCTTTCAAGATTCCTCAAGTATAGCGAATCATTTTTAAGATTTGAGGTATTTGAGGATACGAATGTGCCATCTCTAGTGATAGTTGCTATTATTATTACATAAAAGAATTTAAAATTGCATACGGAAATATTGAAGGCTTTATTTTTGATAAGGACTGGGTTTTGTTTAATTAATGCCTTTATTCACTGTACTAAAATAAAATATTTTTAACAGCAAAATTTATCACACATTTCAGAATTTAAATTTCTGTAATTTTTTAAAAATAGTGATCATTATTGTATCATACAAATTATGACTTTTTGTTATTTTCAGGTAATGGGCGAATTTACGAAATACGTACAGCTGTTTTATTTGTTTCCATTAAGAATTGGTGTTTGCGTACCTTCCGCTTGTTCTACGTCTGATGTATTTAATGTATCCACTTTCGGTAAGATTAGCTTATCACACTGATCATTATAAGCTTTAGAATTGTAACAATATTTAGAATTAATATATTTTATTGATATATATGTTAAATGTTAGAATGCGTAGTACTATAGCTCTGCCCATAGTTGAATTTAAATCTTTTCTGAATGTTAAGAGTACGAATTTATTACAATATTGTTAAAAACAGTTACGAAAATGCGCTTATTAGTTAACCAAAAGCTTACGTAGATACTATAAACTGTACAGCAACTGTTTAATATTTTACCCTCAATAAACATACTTATGATAGAATATTATGTAGGTGTTTTTATAATACTGTATGACAATATTAAACAAAATTTATTCTAAAAAGTATTACTCATTTAGTTTCAAGTTTCGGCTCATCGTCATAAATTCATTATATAGAGTGTTCATAAAAGTCCGTACATGGACATCATTTTCGCAACTGTTGGTCATAGACACATAATTTTGATTACAACAAAAAATTGCCTTAGCAAATAGTCGTTCATTTTTGTTTTGACGTTGAAAAGGTATGTATGCAATACATGGATCAGCCTTCGTTTTTTTCAAGGAATTCAGTAGTACATTTCGGAGTATGCGTTTTTGCTTTGTCTTAATGACGTTTCTCTTTGAAAACCTCTGAGATAATGAGATGGAATTTCTTATGTAGATATCAAATGTAAAGTTTTCTCTTGATATTATGTTGGGTTGATTTTAAAATTTTTTCTCCACCCTTATTTTTAATTTCTCATTGTAAGGGAAACTCGTGGCAGTTATAACTTACCACTTACTGAAACATTCTTTGCATTAACCGAACAAATACCCCTTACTGAAACATTCCTTTGCATTAACCGAACAATGTTTGCCCATATTTGTTCTCTTTGTTTTCGATAATAAATGGAACTTTTTTGTTGATTTCATTTAGGTAAACCCAAGCTTCATAAAGAGTCACAATACATATCCATTTATATATTACTAAATAATTTTCACAGAGGGTTCCACAAATTGTTCTAAGTTGAGCCTCATGCCAAAAGTTGGTGAATATTATGTTTTTCAGACTATTTACGTTGTAAATATTTGCTTGTTATTTTATTTATTGTTGCTACAGATGTATTTAAAGACTTTGGAATTGATTTCTGCGTCGGCGGATTTTCTCTTGATATCGAAGAGTTAACTTTAGAACTATTAAAAAGAATACATATCTTTTTCGGGTATTTCTTTAGAGTCTTCTTTCCATGCGGAAGTAAGGACATATGGTTTTTCCCTTTCCGATTAATAATTTTGCTAATTTTGGATTTAAAAATTTTAATGCCATGCATTTTAAAATGTTTATGAATTACTGAATAGGAATATTTCTTTTCAGAAAGCACAAACTATATCTTTTAATCCACATCATGTTTACATGCGACATTTTAAAAGAAGAATAAATTTAAAAGTAGGCAGACGATATTTCCTCATTTCAAATAATGAATTGTTGGTCAGAAATCTTTATTTCTAAGCATTCGCTTCTTTAAAATTTTTTATAGAAATCTTTCTAAAAATGTATAAAAATCCTCTGTAAATCGCAAACGAATGCCTCTGAGTAATGTTAAATGGACAAAAAAATGAACTTCCTATTATTATAATTTATTTTTAGCGTAACTCTCAAGAAATGCTATAATGGTTGTTTCTTGGCACTGAAGAATCTGAAAAAGTCTCGAAACTTGATCTCGTTAATTTTTGTTGTTTTACGTTTTATATTTTTACGCCAGTAAATATGGTATTTCTATTGCAAGGAATTCTATTATTCATTTATTTGTAAATGCTTTGAACTTGGCATCGTAAAAATTCATTTTACCTCTAATTTAATACTGCCACATTTTATAGTGCTTTAAACAATCAATTTAATTAAAATGTAACGTATTATGCGTATATATTTAATGCTTTTATTCCAAAACATGTATTAAGAACACAGTTTTTTTTAATACGATTAATACATTGATGGAGCTTTTTTATTATTACAATACATTGTAGGTTAAGCAGTAAAACTATGCACATTTTTAATTTATGAAAATACTGTTGCTTTTCAGTTGTGCAGAGTATTTTCCCAGCTAATATTTCTGTACCTCGTTGCGAGACCAAAGAAGTGACTGTGGTACAAGACTATCAGATTCCTATGCTGTAAGTAAAATTCATACATGTATGCTTCTTTAAAAGAATTGACTGCCCTATGAAATTACAATCATGATATTTATGATTTATTGATAATTGTTGTGTCGATCTATAAAAGTAGGAAAGTTTAATTATTGTAAAATTATTGCACAGTGCTTGGAAAAGGCGCTGATATAAATGCACTTAAATTTCATACAAGGGCATATGGATCCGACTGCAATGTAAAGAAAATACTGTAATTATTTTGCCTCGATCAGTCCAGATTCACAACAGCTGGGTTTCGAAATTTCAAAACAAATTTTAATTGAGAAAAACTGAAGTAAATTAAAAACAAACAGTACACAAAATTATTTTTTAATATATAAATGATCAATTTTCCCCTTCATAAAAGCCACACCAGCGGCCGAACCAGCTGAACACTGATAGTTCGGTCCGGGGTTTAAATTCCGGCGAATGGTTTGAATGCATGAGCTTTTTCGTGGTTTTACCCATGTGTAACTGTATGCGAGCCAGTTTTCTTAAAAGGCTCACCACGAAGGCATCCCTTTCCTTAGACAGATAGCCCCGAATGCTTTGCCGTAACAAAATAAACCAAACCTACCTTTATACATCTCATTACTTTTCCGTGCGTGGCTAATGGCTATTAAATAAAGCGCACGGGCAATAAAAAAAATCTTTTCATGCGTCTTATTTTTATTCAATTTTAAAGTTGAGCGATAGGAAACATATTGAAAATTTTTACCTGGGGTCCGCCGTTGTGTAGGTGTCTACCTTTTCTTTGGCCATTCGTTCTTGAACTCTCCTAACTATAGTTGGTGAATGTGAAATCACTAAAAACATAGCGAAAATTGGATAGTAACTTGGTTTCAGTGAATTAGATTCTGTCAGCACAATTGAGAACATCAAGCCAAACACTGGTGTACCAAATAATAAAACGCTTATTGTCATAGATGGTTAGGTTTATTTGGATTATGGTAAAACTCTGGAGGGCTATCTTCCTAAAGAGAGAGATATCTTCATGGAAAGCTTTCCAAGGGAATCAGTCTCGTACGTGCAGTCAACACGTTCATCGGGATTCGAACCCTAGACCAAAGTTCCAGTGTTCAGCGACTTTCAGTGACCGCTGGGCCAACGGTTGGCTGTTAATATAAAGGACAAACGAGCTTATGAAAAACGGAAGGACGACTTAGACAACGAGGACTGAGTTTAAGTGCTTGTACGAGAATTAACTGCTGAACAATTACAAAAAATTATTGGAATGCTTGAAATATTGTCATAGCACGCTGTAGATCCCAATATTCAATTTATAATTCGCTTTATGGTAAACAGTGTTATTCATTGAAGAGAATACCAACACGAATTAAATGTATTTTAATAACTATTTCTAATAGAGATGTTTTAATTCGTTAAGCGTGTTTTATTCATTGAAAAATAGACAGAAGATTATTTGGAGACTAATTATAAATTTTTGCATGACTTTGCTCCTCGATTAGTTTGTTTTCAGAATATTGGTGGAAGATATTACCCAAACTATGCGAGATATTGCTGTACATATGTATAGAATTATAGAGGAATACTTTTATTATTGAAAGATAAATGTACTTTGGGGTAGCTATTAAAAGGTAACTTATCTGGTAAGAGAAATTTTTCCTTTTGTAGCATTTCAAGTTTTGGTCACAGTAATTACAGCATGATTTGGATAATTATAGAATAATTTCAGAAAATATGTGGTAAAATGCCATACTAGCTTATGGGCAATTTATGAAGTAAAAACAACTATGCTAATTTTTTTTTTATTCAGGGTAATTTAGTACTTCATCATCATGCTACATGAATTCCTCGAAACCTTAATGCTTGCTTCAACCTCATTTGCTTTCTTATGCCTTAAAAATTTCTTTTTCTTCCTTTATTCCATCAACGAATGATTCCATCTTCACATCACCTTTCTTGAAACGTGCTTTTCGAAATCATTATGCTCCCTTCTTCCGATGTTAAATGCCATTCCGATTTTTTTCGTTTTGCTCAGATAGGCCAACAAATGTTGTGCACTGTACATTTCATTTTCTTTCAAACTTTGCTGAAAATTTAATAATTATGGCTTTAGTATAATGAGTTTTTTTAAAACTTCGCAAGATGCGTTCATTTATTGGTTTTACTTTTACCTACTCAGCCGCAAGATAAATACAAAGAAGCTGTGCTTGGAAAAAAAAAAAAAATTCATTTCAAATACACTGCTTAAAAACGCAAACCTCAGATTCGTCTTTAAGTAGAAAAAATGTCAGACCACATTTATCATTAATATTACTGCCATCAGTAAAACAAATAGCATGAAAATTTTGTTTTGGGGCAATCTCTTTCCAACCATAAAAATTTAGCAGCTAAACCAGCTTCTAAATTTGCTCTAAATAAAGTAAAACCAGCCCTAATATAGCTGGTTGAGGAATATCAGAAAAAGGTAAATTTTCATCTATGCAATCTACCAAAGTATCATTTGACACTACCTCGAAATTTTTATTTCTGTGTTCACTTTCGAAATCAGTAAGCGGAACACCCGGGAAAACAAAAGTAGTTAATGATTTTTCACATTTCACACAAAGAAATTCCATGTAATTACTCCATGTATATTTTCAGTCCAGTATGATACAAATGCACTTAGAATCTTCTAATTTCATGAGCGAATCATCAAGGCCTAGAAAAGGAAGTATTAGAAGAGAATAAGGTAATAACAAGATAACAACAATTAAACACATATTTAATTATTAATTGCAAGTTATTCATAATTAATAATTATGAAATACATGCGATCACAAAACGAAAGCTTCATAACTTTTCGCGATTCTTCTAAAGCTATCTTGTGATTTATATTTTTAAAGCTAACCAAAGAAATCTGCCAATCTGCAGAGTATTCTTGCTCCTGATGAAAGAAGCCTGTACCTGTTTGCCCTCGTAATCGCTAGAAACTTAATCAAACACAAGGTTGCTTTGCCTAATTTTACATTTAACTTTGACGTGTTTCTGCTCTGCCTTGAGTTTAATATGCATTAAAGAATACTAATAATATCATACTAATCACTCACCAAGTCGCTTAGATCCCCAGCCAACACCGCCCTACTCCAAAGTAAAGGTCTCAGAGGTTACCTAACGGATTTCCACGCTCTCCAGGAAGTAAGACAGATTGTCAGCTTCGTCAATGACAACAAGACCATCATACAAGTCATACCAGGTTAAAATCTGACGATATGTAAAAGGCAGCATGCTTTGCCTTATATAAATATGTAATTAACTCACTTTTTCATATATATTCAAATTCCTATTCAAACTTGTTTTCATAATATAACGATTCAATGTAAGTTGGAAAAACCAACATCAAATTGTATTTATAAATGTATTGCTTTGTAATTAATTAATAACGAATGACCTGTAGTGCCCAATGAGAGGCGAGGCAGGCTAAGAATAAATATTATTATTATTATTAATGATACTAATAATATCATGCTATCCCCTGTATCATTCAGGGGATAACATGCCAGACATTTTCAGAGTATTTCAGTTCAGTATGAAAATCTTTTTAAATGGATAAATAATTTTTTCAGAGTTTCTTTATATACGGTAAAAATGTGTATACAGTAAATGCATAAATAAGTATGTTTCAAGTATAGTGCTCTTTCAGGTGCGTGATAGGAGTTCTTATAATGCTTGTTTTGTCTGGCACATTAGTGGATGCTCTCATTATTCGAAAGAAGAACGTGGCTCCGTCTGAATCAGGTATGTAGGTCCTGATCTAAGTAGTGTTTTACTGCATTAAGAAAGTCTTTTCATTTGTATAATCAAGATATATTATTTCAAAAGATAAGAGTGCTATAAAACAGTTGCAATTGATTCAAGCAGAAAGGGGGAAAAAACACTGAAATATTCGAGAAACTAGTTATAGCATGTAGTGTAATGGATGCTCCTAAATATTTCCTGAGTCGATCACATTTCACTGTTGGATCGTCATACTAAATCGCCAACCACTTAGCCGTCGACTGCTGGGACATTTAGCCGACAGGACGTGAAGCTGACGCATCTAGTTAGCCGATATGTCCATTTGATCGGCAGCATAGCAATTTTCTCAAAAACTCTCAGAAAGGTGCCCACTTGGCGAGAAATCGCCAAATGTCGCCATTTTAAAACATCAATACAAGTTCCGCCTATCTCTTCGCTTCTAACTGAGTTATTTTAATAATTTAAAACTTGATCAATTGAAAATTACAAGATCTACAACTTTGTATACGAAGAAATATATATGTGTGTCAGTATTATAGACACTACTACACTAGAGTGACTACACGGTCACCTAAGCAAAAATACACGCTAGATTTATTATCTAACATAAATAAGAAAAACATAACATTTCAAAAAACAAAATCAAATAAATTTAAGTATCTACGACTATTTTCAAAAATATTTATATTAAATATACGTCCAATATCCTCTGCTTGTTAAACTCTACATTCAAATTTCCAAGAAACAAACCAAATAAATACTAACAAATAGAAAAACTGCCATTTATTAAACTCATCTATGCTGCTTATTAAACTCAGATTGGTAAAAGGCCAGAATCTTTAGTGCCAGAATATAGTACTTGTACCTATTAAACCGTTTCGAAGTTTATCCATTCAATGTATTGTGGATTATAGCTTTGTTATTTAGTTACGAAGTGCTCCAATAAAACGAATTTGAATAAAATAGTTTTAGCTATGAGTGTTTCCAGAGTTTTTTGTCTGCACTGGATTTCAGAAGAATCGAATTTTCCTATCTTAGCAAAACCAGTTCTCTACAGTAGAAGAACAACAAATGAGTGGAGCTCATTCTAGAATACCAGCTGATAGAAGGCTTCTGTGTCTCATCTTTTAAGTTTTCCGAATTCAAAATCTTCTCTTTGAGAGAGACTCATTATGTTCACAGAGATAATAATAATATAATAATAATAATAATAATAATAATAATAATAATAATAATAATAATTAATAATAATAATTAAAAAAAAAGTTCAGGAAAGTACTGCATTTACCTCTTAGCATTGGTGCACATTAAGAGTCTTTGAATGGAAATGATGTGGTGATTGTTAGCTGAAGAAAGTGCAAGGAAAGCGTTGGTCATGCTTATAACCATGAAGCGGCAGATCGACTAAAACAAAGTTCAATCTTAAATTTGCTGTCTGCTTAACTAATACCACGCCGAAAAGGCCAAGCGAAAAGCCTTAAACCTGACAAAAAAGGAAAAACTGTTGACAGATATTCATGTTCTTGATAATTTCAGCTAAAGAAAAAGCTACATTTAAACTAAAAGTTTTCCAAACTGAATTGTGTAGTTTAATTAAAAAAAGAATTTTTATGAATTTAAACTAATCAAAATCAGATGTCTCAAGGGAACGCAAAAAAGCCAGAAATTCGAAAGACATTGAAATTGGCTCTCTAAAATGGTTTCAAGGTTTAATTAAAACGTGCTTATTTTTCTAGAGCTGTTTTCATTAATTCGCTAAAAGCTGTGAAAGAATTGACTATCAGCTGGCAAATGGATCATAAACTGGAGAAAGAGAAATTCGGCATTGTTCACCAGAAATTGCCTGGTGAGAAAAAAGAAACAGATCACTACCAGCTGATAACTGGATAAAAGACGTTTTACTTGAACTGTTAAATAAATACAAGCTATACGAAACTTATAATACAGACAGAATTGGATTATGTTACAGAACATACATTAGTATTTAAAAGTAAAACAACAGTTGATTTAATAAACATAAAGTGTAAGTGACTATGATATTAATGTGCAATATGGACCCAATAATTAAGAAGACAACATTAGTTTTTGATAAAACAGAAAACCTGAAAGAAGTCAAGGATTTACTTCTGACAGCACAAATTCATAGATGACAACTAGTATATTTAATGATTTTCTTTTGAAATGGGACAGCAAACCGAAGAACGAAACAATTAGCTTTACTAATTGAATAACTGCGCAACACACACACATCTGATCTCTGTCTGAAAAATAGTCTGAGAAATAGTGCTCCTTCTTCTAATATTACAACTTCTAATATTCCTTTAGTTTTAGGGTATCACAAAAACGTTTAAATGTAATTACAGAAAAGATGTTCAGAAGATGATGTACAGAATTCAATTACGTGAAAATACTATCACTTTGAAGAAGATAAGTAAATCGATATCTCTGCTAGAGCCCATGCATGTTACAGTCAATGTAGGGGATTAGTCTGTTAAAATAAGCTACAAACTATTTTCGGAATGTGGCTTTTATGTAGAAGAAGCCTCCAACTGGAAATGAAGTCTACAGCTCTAGTTTCAGACACAAGTGAAGGAAATTACGAAGATTCACTTTTAGAATATGTGTCAATTCACAAAACCTGTATAAAAACTGACCTTAAAAGAAGTTAAAGAACTGCAGACACTGAAAAGGAAAATGATACTGAAAAGAGTGTTGACAATGGCATGTCATCAATCGAATCTAGAAAAGCACTGCAAATTTTTCTTAAAAAAAAAAGTTCTTTAACTGAAGGCATCGTGATGATAGCTGGTCAAAAAAAGGCTACCAAAGTCTTACGAAATTAGAATATAATTCAGAAACTACTGTTCAACGACATGAGATAAACAAAGAAAGCTAGGATATATTCAGAAACTACTGTCAAACATCAACGACAGAGATAAACAAAGATAGAGAGAATATTTTGTAAGAAAAATTTCACCAAGAACGTAATTATAATAATATTTTTATAAAAAATTAAAAAATGAATTTCAGAAATGCATAAATAGTTTCATTTTAGCACTTATTTTAAATTATTATTTTAGAATTCATTATTAAATTAGCCGTTAGCTATTATTTCGCTTGTAAAATCGACAATACACAAATTGCAATCTTTTGAATCAGCCGTCCAGTAAACTCAAATACGTTTGAAAAGAAAGGGAGTTTAACAAGCGATGGGTACTGTACATGTGTGTCTAACAATATATTTATTTAATTGGTAGTTAAAAATCTTTAACAATGGAAAATAAATAATATCTTTTTTTTTCGTCATTAGCAATATAAAATACAAATATGCCTTTGTACAAAATTATATCAACGAACAATCTCAATTTTAAATTTGTGAGTTAAAACTGACGTAAAGCAATTAAATCTGTTATAAATTCGTTTTTTTTTTCATTTAAAATTACCTGAAATTTGATCTTTCCTGATAAGGGAAGTTGAAAGCTCCATATAACTGATAAGCCTAAAACTTTCTTTAAAACAGTCATTTCTAGGTGCTGTGAAGTGTGAAAATGTATTCAAACTTTATAAACTGTAAATAAAACGTAGACTGGCATACTAACTTTTAATTTTACATTTAACGGAGTGGAATTTTGTTATTGTATTTTATTACGTTAGTTACCGTAAAAGACCGAAATCTGGAGAATGTGAGTATTCAGATAGGTGCTTGTGTATGTGCGACATATTTGCTAAATATCCTTAGTTCTCATTTACACTTAGTCTCATTTCGAACTCTACCGGAGCATATTTGTGCTTGTTGACATACACCAGTGATGATCCGAATGTATAAAAATATAACCAAAATATTCGATCCTTAACGAGGTATGTTAACATTCACTAATTTCGATCTTTCATGGTAACATTTATAGTATACTAGCAGAAGTGCCCGATGCCAGTTAAGTTAGATCGAGTGTAATGTATTTAACAACAGAATGAACCATACAGCTGTAATCCTTCTTTAATAACGACGCAAAAAATACGATTCATATTCATACATTTTTCAGTCTGATGCGATATGGAACCCACATAAAAGATTTCCATAGACAAATAAACTAATTCTCTCTCATTATATCAGCAACAATGGCATGCAGTTTTTAATGATTTTCGTCTTTCTAATCAAATGGTCGTAAAAGCTCAAGTTCCATCTAATATTTCACCTATATTTAATTTTAGTCGATTAAATGTGGCAACGCGAACAAATAAACAAGCAGACATTCTTTTTTATATGCAGAGATTCGGCAAAACTTACAAATTTTTGATTAACAAAATGTACGATTTGAAAGTGAGCAATAGCAACACTTTTGGAAAAAAAGCATATTTATCTCCAGCGCGCGACACTAATGCCACTCGGAAAAATGAGTGCGAAAATTAGCGCTTCCAGAGTTTTTAATTAATATTTTGGCTGATTAAAATCGTACGAAGATGGGAATAGCCGAAATTGCTTCCCGCGAATTATTGGATTCGGAAATAATGTATTTAATGTTTGGCAATGCTATTTTTACATCATCTCAAAACTCAGAAATTTTTTTATTAACAAATTCTAGGATTTGAAAGCGAGCAGTGGCAACAACTTTCGAAATAAAACAGATTTTCATCTCCAGCTCGCGAGACTGTTGCCACTCGGAAAAATGAGGGCGAAAATTATAGTTTTTGCGAGTTTTTAATTAATATCTCTGATTTTAGGTATTTTGTGTGGAAAAAAGTGGACGTTGACCTTTTCCAGAACCCAGAAAAGAATTGTAGAAAGTTTGGCGACGATAGCTATAGTAGCGCTGAGTTATTAGAGGGCAAACACACAGACTTTCTTCTTTATATATAGATTTATACTGGCTTACCGATTTTATGTATTTTTTAATTTCTATTTAACGATAAAATATTTCACAGTTCCAGAATTCGTTAACAAAATGCATGCATATTTTACTCGCAGTATGAGATTAGAAAATTGAATAATTAATTTAGTTTGGGTTTCTTCTTTCATATCAGTATTAACATCAATAATTTTTTTAAGGTTTAATTATACAATGTTTACTTGCATTCTCTGCTATTTCCAACTTCAAGAAGCTGATGGATGTCAACGCAGCTTCAGACGCTTTGACTTCGCTCCACGGAATACGTTTCTATTCAATGTGTTGGATCATCCTTGGGCATACCTACTTTCACTTGAACTTCAGCACCCTTAGTAAGACTATTAATTTTATATTAGATATTATCTTGAATGGTTTTTATATTCATTAAAAACTCTAATAAAATAATTATTTAATATGCTTTAATATAATGATTTAATATGTTTTTGGTCAGATTATCGATTTTGCGAAAGAAATACTGTTACTTGAAAAACAAGTAGTTTTTGTTATTTTTATGTGTTAAAATTATTAGTTTGAGTCATCATAACCCTTTTAATCAATATATTATTCAAATAAATTTGAAAACAGAATTTAAATTTATGCTCTTCTAGTGTATTGAAATTAACTACTTTTAGCTGAAATTAACTACTTTTGAAGGTAATAAAGATTATTTAAATAAAGTTCCTAATTTCAATCCATCATCTGTAACGATCCTAATTCCAATCCATCTTTGCCGTCGGCCTTTAAAGAAATTATGTTTTAGTTCTGGTTTCATCAACAGATGGCGCCACTTGCTTATTCTTGTCCAGGCTTTCTTATCTTATCTAATCATTATTTTCTATCTTGTTCATTTGCGGTTTTGCAGCAGAGGATGGTGGTTCAGTAAAACCATCGAAACTAGTCCTGGGAAAATTTTGAAAATATAACGCTGATTTTTGTTGTTTGACTTCTGAATTAGTACTTTTAGCTTGTAAGAAATTATTAAACAACGCAGAGAAGAAGGTAAATCTTGAGACAGCTGCTTCTATTGTAGGGCCCGATTCAAGCTCAAATCTTCTAAATTTCTGTTACCATGTAATAGTCAATTACATTGTAAAAGCATGCAGAAAAACTGCTTGATGTAATAATATAATAATAATTTAATGGTATTTTGAAGTTTCAGGGACGTACTTTCCTTACTTTTGTTACAGGTAGCGACACTTAGGTGTAATAATTTGTTGTACGATGCCAGTGAAGAACATTTAAATTTTTCCTTATATGAAGATGGCACAGTGCCACCTTAAAATGATGCTAATTATTGCAAAAGAAGACTGTTACCTGGATATATGTGCTTTTCTTGTGATCGTGGTTTACAATTTGGAATTGAAATTATACTGTTTTAAAGATATATTACTGTGTTGGGTTGCCAAGAGAGTAGTTTCGGCTTTATCATGCGAAAAAAAAAACTCAGTTTTTTTGTATAAAAAGTGAACTTCAATCACTCAAATGTCTTCCATTCTGTTTAATGACATTTTACCATTTTTCTAGTAACTTAACGATTCCGTACTGAGTATGATATATTAGTATTTTATAAAGCACTTTATGAAGAATTAACTAACTTTTATTAGCTAGATATTTGCATTTAATTTTATTTTAAGTATTTAAATAATGTATTACGAATTTTTTTAGATGGTTATATGGATATTAATTATATTTTTATAGCTCTTAAAAGTTTTATGATCCATGATCCCTAAAGTCTTTTCCACTTGCGTTTACATGAGTGTAAAATTTAAAGAAAATTAAAAAATGGAAGTAAATTCGCCCCTTCTCCCCTCCCCTAAAAAGTGTTCAACAAAATTAGAGTTTCGAACAATAAGCTAATATATTTTACTTTCGAATCTTGTTATAATTAGTTTAATTATATAAATTGTTAACATAAGTCAGATTTGGTAATCGAAAGCCCTTTCGAAGCCTCGGAATGTGAGAATTTCACGGTTTTGCATATTTCAAGGTTGATTGGGTTAAAAAGTGGTCGTCTTGGGTTAGAATATTATAATTATCAATGCTGACCATTTTTAGGAAATATCGTCTGCGAATGGCCTTGAGAACCTGGTTGCCTTGAGAAGATTCACTATTCATTGCTTTATAATATGGAAATAAATGCATTCAGGTGTCTTTTGCCGTTAGACTAGCAGTACCTTGTTTATAATTTGAAATAATGTTTATGTTAAGCTTTTTCCACATTCAAAGAATTTCATGGCTATTTTTATGCATAACGAATCGAACAAAAAATTCTTAAAGTTTATTTTCCAATTCTTCCTATAATTACTTATGCTCAATTAATAAGAACAAGTGTCATGGAATTACCATATGATGATATTCTTAATGATAAAATAGACTGATTTGTGCAAAGAAAAAGAAAACTAGCTTTTTTTTCTTGATGAAATAGATTGATTTGTGGGAAGAAAAGTAAAACCAGCTTTTTCTTAATGAGGAAATAGATTAATTTGTGAAAAGAAAAAGAAAATTGAAAAATAAAATTAGCTTTTTTCTTAACGATGAAATAGACGGATTTGTGAAAGAAAAATGAAACTAGCTTTTTTTTCTTAATGATAGACTGATTTGCGAAAAGAAAAATAAAACTAGCTTTCTTCTCAATGATGAAATAGACTGATTTGGGAAAAGAAAAATAAAACTAGCTTTTTTTCTTAGTGATGAAATAGACTGATTTGCGAAAAGAAAAATAAAACTAGCTTTTTTCTTAGGTATTTTGTACATCTGATTAAATTTATTGCGCTTGTAAGAATGCAAAAGGCGGCTAGATGAACGTAATGGAAATTTAATTAGATTTGCATGAAGATTAGATTCTTAAATTTTTCATTATAGAATTAAATAACAAAACAAAAAAAAAAAAAAAAAAAAAAAGGGTTTTGAGGAAACTTGACTACTAATTCTCGGACACATAATTTAAGAACCTCTATAGTGCCTGACGATTAAAGATGAATAAAAGCAGATAATTCAGTTGCTTTCAAACAGTGTATTAGATCCGTTATTTAAGATCTAAACCAGCTAAGATAAATTTATCTTAAATGGCTACCTGGAAATGAGTTTTTATATCCTTAGATACATATTAAATGATTTAGAAAAGATAAATAATTAATGTTTACGATTTAATTTCATCTTTACAATTATTTCTGATGCGACGCAAGCACGAAATGTAAACTGGACAAACTTCGTTCAAAATTTATTAATATTCTATAGTACATATAACATTCATATGTTATTAAATTCTGTAATTTTACAAAATGGTAGCATAAATGTCCTTTTTACTTTTTGTTTTAGGATACTTACAAATTACCATTGAAATGGCAAGCCAGTTTGCCTTCAACTTCATAACCAACTCTTCCTTAGTGGTGGACAACTTTTTCTTTCTTAGGTAGGTAGGTATAAGAACATTAATTTTCTAATACTGGAAATGGATATTTTATGTATATCTAAATGCTTTGCTGTACAGATGTCATTCACTTGCCTTTTTTCTTAGAAGTAGAGTTACTTCACAATTACATGCGAGTGGATGACAAGGAAGGAGATGCAGAAAATTGCTAAACGTTGCAACGCAAGAATGTTTTATTTTAAAAACTTGAAAAAAGAAAAGTTTAAATTAACGATATGGCTTTATCGTTTTTCTTTAACCTTTTGCGTCGCGAGTGTAGTACACTTTAAATTTTAGGTAGTTGAGAGGAAATTAAACGTCTTTTCTTCTACGACAAATGTTTCTATATTATTCGAAAGGTTAACAAACGTAGCTGTGCTTAAGATATAATAACAAATCAAATTTTGGTTTACATTGGTTTCCAAAAAAATGTAAATAATTCTATACACCAGAATGTTTCTGAATTGTTGCAGAATTGTATAGCATTTGAACGGTAAGAAACATGGTTCGGTTTAATAAGTGAATCAGATATCTGGAGATTGGACACTAGAAATCCCATTTTCGAGATTTGAAAACTCAAACTTTCTTCCATTTTGCGTCATTAAATCTTCCGAATTATAAAGTAAAATATGTTAAATATTTTATCTCAAAACTTTAGTAATTTTATTGACGGCTAATAAAACCCTTCAATAAAACAGAACGCGATTGTTGCAGTTTTAAGCGGACCTACATCAACATTAATACCTCATGGCATCCTTTGATTTGTCCATTCTTGATTTCCTGGTGAGAATTTAGCGTTTCATGTATGATATTTATTTATGCTAATTCTAAAATATTCCTCTCCATTTTACTGTTACTTTGATTTAAAAAAGTATATGGAAAAACTCAAAACATTTATACTCAAAGAAATTTTGCCAAATAGTTTGAAAAAAGTACTTAAAAATTTAAATGTTCGAAATGTGCTTCATTTGCGAAATTTATTTCTATCTTCTTAACATATATATGTGTATCTTTTAAAGCTGAATTCTTAAATTTGTTTCTCTTTAAACACAAGTTTCAAATTTTATTTTAATTAATAATTTTTTATAAGAAAAACAATTCTTTCTTTTTTGGGTTTCATATTTGGATTCGGGAAAATTTAGAATTTAATGCATCTGTACAAATAAGATAAGTCTGAAGAGTTTAATAATCTTGGCTATATTATTAAGGAGAATATTATTTTTAATAGCCGAGCTATTCTTCCTCCTTTTCTTCGGAAAACACAAAAATTCATCCTTATTTTGCTGAAAATCGCCCAAAGTATCATTAGTTAAAATGCTTAGAAATCATAGTGAAACTTCGCTAAATTTAGTCAACACGAGTTCTTTAAAATTATCTTATATGTCAGATAAGTACGAGTTTCCGTCTTTCATTTTTAAAAGCGCTTAAATTCAGCTAACGTATTTCCGTTTTTTTCATAGCCCTAAACTTGATAATTTTGTTATTTCCCTTTACCAGATGACAATGCTTTACGTAAAATTATTAAGATAAAGTTTTTGAAGTTCATTCTGCATGTTGCAGTTTTTCTTGTTTTTTCTTTTTCCCTCTTTCTTTTTCGTTTCTTTTTTTAATTTTTTTAAACGATCAATAGCTGGAATTTTTTATTTTATTTCTCTCTCTTCTTTCAGGTATAATATCTTCTTTATGGTGCACCCTAGGCAACACTCTCAAAAGTTAAATTCTCGATAAGTTTAAACATTTCTGACCGATGTTTGGAGATAAAGTTTCTGACTATTTTGGGGAGAAATAAGTTGGTCAAAGAAAAGCGTATCAATTAGAACATCTGCTACAGAAGATAGAGCATAATTTAAATTTTAATACGTTTACTAAAAGATATCACGTGACCAAAACAGTCCTAGTTTGAAAAATTTCTTTACTGGACTTTGAGATTTTAATGATACACAATTTCTGAAACATTCAGTATTATAATTTTCGAAGAGAGGGAAATTACGAAATGACAAATTTATAAACAGAGTTATTATATACGATATATTCAGAAATGAACTATAATGACTAGTATATAAAAGATAGAAGAAACTGAGTTTAAACATCTGAAAGCATGACAGAGTAGACTGAAAGATCGAATTATGCATGGAACGTATGGTTGTATGTGCATAAGGCTCGAAGAACGAGTCAGCGAAAAGTCTGTACTAATTTAAGCATTCGAAATGCAGTTATTGGTCATTTTATTGATAACAACACTTACTAATTTATTTAACACTATCTCTGCATATATTATTAAAATTAACCCTCGGCTTGTTAATTTTAAGATCAAAATTAGAAACTGTAACAGTGTGAATACTTGAGGGGCGAGTTTAAAGATATGCTAAATTTTGCTCAGCACTCATATTCATAACACTGTGTTTAGCGGTTCCGGCTTACAGAGTACTTTCGAGAAAGATTGTTTCTGTTGGTTTGTTCTAGAAGCGGTAAATTTAACATTTGGAGATTTCCATCATTGTTAGGGAAAAAAAAAAAAAAAAAAAAAAAAAAAAAAAAAGGTAAGAAAAGCCATGAGCCAAAAATAAACCATAAGAATTTAATGATAAGCAGTGGTGAGTTAAGAAAATTTTAACGAACGGCTCTTACTTTCTTTTATAACACATTTTAATTAAATATTTTAATTTTTACAGAAACAAAGCCTACAGATAACTGTACATGAATAATAAAATATTAGAAATAAATCATAAAATATTACAGAATACAATTAGTAAATTTAAGTATGGATACAAGTTGTACCAGAAAGGATGTCACGCATTCTTCTTCTTTCTTGCCACTTGGATCTCCTAGGAAGTTCCAAGGTCCAGCAATGGTTTTTGAAAAAGAAACTTCTCATAAAGTTTAGAATTAGGTTCTTTTAGGGGTTTCATATTTTCGGAGACTGTTATTGTGATGTAATTGTGAAGTTATAATTCATATCAGGTTCGATAAATCCAGTTTAAATCTTTATTCCGTAAATTTACAGCCTTTATTTATAGCACTATTTACGGATATAAGGATCCAACATAATTTAAAGAAAAACTTTTACTTTTAAACTGCTATACCTCATGTGCCCCCCAGAAGCTGCGGAATACAAACTTTGGATCTCTCCCATTCTTTTTGGCTGGCGGTGAGAAAAAACTGATTGGCTGAAGCAGAGTATGTGATTTAACGACTATATTTTATAGTCAAAAGTTTTTTTTTTTTTTTTTTTTTGTTGTTGTTGTTGTTTCTTTAGTGCTACTAACAGCCTTTCATAATGGAATTAATTAATTTTCTTTTTACAGTTAAGAATTTCGTAATGCAGAAAGGAAAAAACTGATATGAGTCAGAGTACGATTATGATATTCAAGATGTTATTTTTCTTGAGCTAAGTAAAACAAGCAAACATGAAGAACAAGGGACACAGAAATTTAAAGACAAACTTAAGGCTCGTGGAGTTCTCCTTAAGCATATTACTGATAATAAGTAAACTAAAATAATCAAGCACGAGCCATCACTTGTTATAAAATAGTATAAGCTAGAGTTTAACTTCATAACAAATAGGTAAAATAAAAGTTTCTTTCTCTATCAAAAGTAAAAAGAAATTAGAAGTGAAATACCCTACACAATTCGAAAAGAAATAATTGAACTTAAAGGTAATGATTAAAAAAAAAAAAAAAAAAAAAAAAAAAAAAATAGTGCTCAATGGAGAAAAAATGAATCAATTAAGGAACTTAAAAAAAATTCTATCCTTTATTCTTCCTTTTTTATGGAAGTGCCCTAATAATTAATCTTAGTTACGAAGCTTTTAATTACAAACTCATTCAAATTACTGTGTTTGGTCACATGTGCTTAAATTCATAATATTGCTTTACGATTAATTAGGTTATTATTTAAACATTCTTCTTTGCATTTAGCTTGATCATTCAGCAAGATGTTATCTTTCAGGGTTTACGTTGCTGGATATAATATGAAAAAGCATTTTCTATTTTAATACTTTTTTTTCAAACTAGAAAACAACGAGTGAATTATAAAATCTGAAATTAGAAAACAATACGTGGTTGAGCAACAGTGCTGATAGTGCCATCTATCGAAGAAAATATCATCTACCATTACAGACGCTAATTTAATTGACTAAATCTGAAATATCAGTTGCTAAGCCGCTGCTTTAGGAGAAAATTTATTCCTGGTCATAGGGACTCCTGAAGTATATCTCGAATTTCCTTTCTGGCGTAAGAATATCGGTAGTCATTCGTAAGAAAGTCACGTGTGTATTTCTGCACTTTAAAAATTAGAATGTTTCTACTTGAGATACTGCGGAAATGTTTTCTCTTCTCTCAGTTAATTCTTCCCCAATAATATGAAAATATACAAAATTTTATTCATTGTTTTATTTTATTCTTTTTTTTTTTTTTTTTTTTGGCGTAAATAATGCAGAATAAAAATTCATTTGTATCTTCACTTCCAAAACAAGCATCTAAGCTTAGAAAACTAAAGAATTCTTCGCTTATGGCGCCATCTGTAATTCATAATAGGAATTAATATTATTTCCGAAAATGGAATTTTCAAATAGTCTCCTCTCCCTCAAATTTTTTTATTAAAACTACAAAGAAAGACGGTAAATTTAAAGATTCTTACGGTAAATTTATAGATATTTTTATGGTACATTTATGGATTCTTTTACGTTGGTCAATGGAACCATTGAGAAATTTATTTGATTGAGCACCATCCGATTGTGATTGCATTGCTTTAATTTTCCCATTTCATTGTGCTTTTTAAACTTTAGTTCTTCTAAGTTTTATTTTCAGATTAATGATTCAGAGCATATGAGCACAATTATCAACATGCTTTCTTTAGTGAGGGTAAACTAAAACAATTTTAAGTACTACAGTCATGTTCTTTATGATTGTTGTAGGATTCACGTTACGAAAATAAGTTCTTGATGTTGTACGAAATTTTTCTGAATATTAAATTAGATTATTAGTAATTAATTAAAATGTAAAATATTTCGTTTTGCTTTTAATTTTTTAATAGTGGCCTTTTAATGATTTATGTTGCCTTGGATATGGAGAAAAAGACTGGTAGAATTCCAGATGCTGTGCACTTCATTATACATAGGTTATGGAGGTAAGTAAATAAAACATACGTCATATTTTGAGAAAAAGAATTTACGAACTGAGCCAATAATTCTTATGTAAAGAGTTATATTTTAAGAGAATGCACTAAGCTTTTGAATAATGAATCAATCAATATCATCACTCACTTCTAATCACTTCTAATCACTCACTTCGATTTTAGGAAATTCTGAGGTGTCGTGTTCTTAAAAAAGGTGATAATTTTATAGTTATTTTATATTCCACTGTGAAATTTTGACCACCGGGATGTTTTGCTATATTAACGAATTTCTTTGTTACATAGGAGTTTAAGCTTGCAGTTATTTAAGTTTTAAAATGCCATATTCGTAACCTGTGTCTCTTGATTACGTAATTAAATATAGAGCGATCTGTGATTATATAACTATATAAAAAGCTATCATCTTCTTCAAACTTCTTTTTGAATCATTGGCGCTCACAAGGCGCCGAGTAGTAAAATCGCTGAGCATTGGTAGTTCCAACCTGGGCCGAGTAGTAAAATCGCTGGGCACTGGTAGTTCCAACCTGGGTTTAATTTTAGGCGAATGGGCTGGCTGCATAAACGGTTTTTGTGATTTTTCCCATGTATAATGTGTATACGAGCCGTTACCCTTCAGTCACCCACGAAAGTCCTCCACGAAGTCACCCCTTCCCTTAGGCAGCTTGCCCTAGTGTGCTTTGACATAATCTATCAAACCAAACCAAACCAATGGGAATCATTGGCGCAGTTTTTGGTGTGATTACCGTCAATTTTCACGGTCGACGGAAATATACGTAAATACCACACTAAAGAACACTAAAATGTATATCGTTTTTGCAATTGTGAATACTTAACGGCAAAAGTTAAAAGGACAGAGAGGCTTAATAATAGTCATGCAAAATACACACTTAAGTATTTAAAAATATTAATCTTATATTGTAAATTTTCGTTTGAAATGTTCTATTTACTGTAAAAATTAAATATTTTAATAACTTAACGTTCTATTTTACAACATATCAAAATAATTTTACAAGCTAAATATGAAGTTTTTTAAAGTATCTGAAATGGATTTTTCAGGTTTTTGCCAGTTCAAATGTTCTTCGTAGGCGTCAGTACATTACTGCCTTTAGTTGGGGACGGTCCCGTCTGGCGAGAAAATATTGAACCCATAACAGAAGGCTGCAGAAACGACTGGTGGACTAACCTTATTTTTATTAATAATCTGTACAGAAGCAGTCCCAAAGGGGTATGTAAAGGATATAAAATTTTAATTCTTCATAACTTTGCTTTAAATTTTACTGCAAAACAATCCTTAAATTCAGTCGCAGCCCATTAGATTTTGGACTCTGGTACTTTGTTGCATTAATTAATTTGTAGTATTATCCGAAAATATATCATTATTATTAATTTAATTTAATTTACTAATATTTTTATTTACTCTTTTACAGTTAATTTCTTTATTTGCACTATATTTATAGTTTCATTAACTCTTATTTTATTTCGAATTTGTTCACCAAGTTTTAAATGGTTCCTTCAAGGCTCCGGAAGGTCTAATTTTCGAAATTTAGCTCTGGAACAAACGGAAGGAAGTGCGTTAGAATTTGACTAATAATTTTTCTGAAGAACAATTATTGCTTATGTAGTTTAAAAATAATACTATGATGAAAGAAAATTTTTGTTTATCTAATGAAAAATAATGTTAAATGTAAGAACAATAAATTTAAGATGTAATAACAATAAGAATAATGTGTAAATGTAATAAAATAATGCTAAATGTAATAATGAATGTAAGAACAATTTTTCTTTACATTATTAAAATGATCTTGTAAAGAATGAAAATTACGCTGAATTATGGTGAGGGAATTGAGAATGAAAAGAATGAAAATTCCGCTGAATTATGGTGAGGGAATTGAGAAACATCTATTAAACATTCGAGGACTATTTGCGTGGGAGAACATACGGCCATTTTTTCTTTACACAGATTATAAATTCTACAGCTAAACGAATTCCAATCAGAAATCATTCTCATTCTCCTTTTAATAGATGAAGTCGTTGTTACAAGAAAAAAAAAATATTTTAAAAGGTAATGCTAGTTATTGTTAAAGAACGTTCGAATTCCCTTGATTAAGAACATGATTTTTATGAATTTGTGATTTAGAGAGAGCACTGTTGTTTAACTTGAGGAAGCTGCCCCAATCTGTGATCTTCGAAGCCTGCTATTGTCATTCTCCTGGATTTCTAAAAAAAAAGACAAAAAGAAATTTCAAATTAACTGCGTATGCCACACTAAAGCCGAAAATATCAAAGTTTAGATATTAAGCATGGTATGCGTTTATCACCCTTTTTCTCCTAAGAATGATGAAATTCATTATCCTATTTATCTTACAGACTTCCCATTCTAGTCTTAGAAACAAAAGAGAGATTCAAAGCACCATGACTGTGGTGCTACTTATCAGCATATATCTAAACATAGAAGAGCTATGAAAGAATCGGCAGACTCATTCATCTCATTAATGTCAATACCAGCATATAATTAATTTTTAATTAATGAGATAAAGATTATATAAACTGCAATAACCTTGAATTATTAGAAGCAAATATAAATTTTCTTCTGTTTAGCTAATACAAGTACAAAATTAAATTAATTTTAATGGTTTGCATTTTAAGAATGTTAATATACTCGCAGGACGTATCCAAAAAAGTTGCTTTCAACAAGAAAAGCGTAAGGTCCTCCGCAGAACATTCTAATTCATAAAATTACTTGAAAAAAAATTTCAGAAACTCTAAGTAAATAGAAAAAATTACTCTTTTTATTTACTACAAGTAAAAAACAATTACTCTAAATAAATAGGAGAAAACATAACCCTTTGAAAAGTTCAAGATTTTATTTTGTTTTAAATGACAGTGTAGCGAAGCGGTATCTTAACTTTAAATTAATAAACCTAAGAATACATCAATGCGAGTGGACTGTAAATTTAACCTTTATTCGGCGGTTTTAACTTTCGAACACAACACAGCACAAAGTAAAACGACAGAGTTACAATTAGCGGTTTTAAGAATGCAAGAACAAAATGCGAACTACGCATACGATCTGCGCATTGCGAAATAATATCTCACAGACAGGCAGAGAGCTCTGGTGGCTGAAACATTCCGCCCGGCGTTGAAACATCGTTTCAAACTAAATAGCTTTTACAAAATGAAGTTATCATAACAATATTAAATTATGCAAAAATGTATCATTAAAATATTCACAAGAAAACATAATATGAAATTATGCAATGAAACTAAATTATTCTCAAAACAGATGCACAGAAGCCTTGATACAATTCAGGAACTTAATTATAGCTAAAGCAAAGTACAAAGTTATAATGCTTTAGGAAAAAAACTTAATCATTGATAGGCAAAACACTAAGTTTGTGAATTGGCCTTTTGAAAACTCCGTTAGCGGTTTTGATCTTCACGATACGCACAAGTATTATCTGAGCTAGGAAAAACTTCCAGCACTCTTCCTAATTTCCATCGTAGCGGGGGTAAATTGTCTTCCTTTATGATAACTAAATCATTAACCTTTAAATTAGGTTGCACTTTCAACCACTTTGAACGTCGTTGCAAATTAGAAATGTATTCATTGGACCATCTTTTCCAAAAGCTTTGAAACATTTTCTCAACAAGCTTCCAACGTTGCAATATAGGAATTTTTTGATCGTGTAAACTTTCTTCTGGTAAGGCAGTTAGCGGGGTACCAATTAAAAAATGGCCTGGCGTAAGTGCAGAAAATTCTGATGGATCTTCAGACAGTGGACACAACGGTCGCGAATTTAAACAAGCTTCAATTTGAGCTAGCAATGTCGTAAATTCTTCTTGCGTTAGAAGTTGTTCACCTATGGTTCGCTTGAGATGTAACTTTGTAGATTTGACTGCAGCTTCCCATAATCCTCCAAAATGTGGCGCTGCGGGAGGATTAAATATCCACTTAATACCTTCAGTAGAGCAATATTTATTAACCAATTCATTTTCCTTCAAGGAGTTTATTACTCTTTTCAATTCCTTATCTGCAGCAATAAAATTTGTGCCACAATCGCTATGCACTTCTATTGGTTTTCCTCTTCGAGATACAAAGCGCTTCAAAGCGGCAATAAATGATTCTGATGTAAGATTACCTACTAATTCAATATGTATAGCTCTTGTAGTAAAACACACGAATACACAAATGTAGCATTTCATTGGTTTTACTCCTCGACCTTGCCTGGGCTTCACTTGAAATGGCCCGGCGTAGTCAATTCCAACTTTGGAGAAAACCTTTGACGGAACGACTCTAGACGATGGTAAATCAGACATTATCTGGGTAGATGTTTTTAGCTCGTACACGATGACATTTCACACATTTCCAAATCTGTTGTCTTACAACTGACCTAGCGTGGATTATCCAATATTCTCTTCTAATTACTGATAGCAATAGCAGGGGGCCTGCATGAAGATGGGATTCATGAAAATGATTCACTATAATCTGTGTTATGTGATGTTTCTTGGGCAACAAAATAGGATATTTTCTGTCCTGCGCGATGTTGGATTGTCTTAATCTTCCTCCAACGCGTATAAGTCCATTCTTATCGATAAACGGGTTCAAAGAAAGAAAGGATCTTACTATTTGAGTTTTAACGGTTGATTCTTTTTCAGAAGATTATATTCATTAAAAAACTCATCCATTTGAACTACTCTAACAATTGCATTTCTAGCGTATTGCAATTCTTCGGTTTTAAGGTAACCCTTAATCTTTGTTGCGGTAGATTTAGCTGAATTATTCGCAAACCGAAAACACCATGCGATGATTCTTTTAAGTTTCAAAAATGATGAAACTTCATTAAGGACTGGAATTTGCGAAGCGACTGTTCCAATTGAACAAGAAATATTTTTCCGTTGTTCCCTTAAAGACTCTTCTGAAAATGGTAAGTTGATAGAGAATGGAATATTATTTGAATTAAGCCACTGAGGACCTGTCCACCACAAGTCATGAGTAGAAAGCTCTGAAGGCAAAAGACCTCTTGATGCGCAATCAGCTGGATTCTCCTTTCCTTTTATGTGATTCCAATGCGATGAAGGTAAGACTGATTGAATTTCTGAAACGCGGTTGGCTACGAAGGTTTGCCAGCGTGTTGGTTCTGATTGTATCCAGGACAAAACTATCATTGAATCACTCCATGCGTAAATACTGTCAACATGAATTTGCAATGAATTCTGCACAGCTTGAACCAAATGCACTAATAGAACTGCAGAGCAGAGTTCTAAACGAGGAATAGAGATTACTTTCAGGGGAGCTACGCGAGTTTTTGATGTTAGTAGCTGCACCGAAATTGAAGAATGATTTGAAGACTTTAAATAAATCACTGCGGCGTAAGCTTTCTCTGATGCGTCACAGAAACAATGAAGTTCTACATTTGTAGATTTGGGCAATAATACTCTCCTAGGAATATGAATGCATTCAAGATTTGCGATATCTTCACAATAGATTTTCCATCTTTGATTGATTTCATCTGGCAAGGGATCATCCCACGAAATTTGTAATTTCCATATGTCTTGAAGCAAGATTTTTGCTGCAACTATAAAAGGTGCTAACCAACCAAGTGGATCAAAGATTTTCGAAATAGAAGATAAAATTATTCTTTTAGTAGAACACTCTCTGTTTTCGAGATTTCCAAAGTGGCAAGTAAACTCGTCTTGCGTTGGATACCACTCCAAACCCAATAATTTTATTGATTTAGTATCAACTACTGCACATGAAGAATTTGAGTTCCGAGCACTCAAAGCAGTTTCCAAAATCGAGCGATCATTAGTACACCATTTATGCAATTGAAAGCCACCTTTTTGTAAAAGTTCACTCAGTTGTGAAATTAACTCTACTGCGTCTTCTACTGTGTCTGAACCAAATAGGACATCATCAATATAACAATTGTGTAATATTATTTCAGCTGCCTTTGGGAATTTAGTTCCTTCGTCAATTGTTAGTTGTTTGAGTACGCGAGTAGCCAGGTATGAAGCGGAAGTAGTGCCGTACGTAACTGTGCACAACCTGTAAGTTTTAATCGGCTTCGATGGATCATCTCTCAAAATATTTTTTGGAAATCGCGATCTTCATCATGAATTTGAACTTGTCGATACATTTTCAATAAGTCGCTAGTAATGGCTATGGGATAGCATCTAAACCTCAAAAGAATAGTAAATAAGTCGTCTTGTACCTTGGGACCATTCATTAGCGTGTCATTAAGCGATATCCCTGATGTAGTTTTGGCACTAGCATTGAAAACGACGCGTAATTTTGTGGTAAGACTGGATTCTTTTAGCACGTGATGATGAGGTATATAATAATGAAAATTTACCTTATCTGGATTATCATCGGATAATTCTTCCATGTGTCCAAGTGATAAATATTCGGACATGAAGTCTTTATACTGTTGATATACTTCAGGAGTTTTTATTAATTTTTGTTCCAGACTAAGAAAGTTTCGAAAGGCTGATGGTCTGGAATTACCTAACTCATTTCTTTTAGGCTTGAATGGCAGTTTTACTGAGTAACGACCCTTTTCACTACGCACGTGATTTTCCACGAAATGATTTTCACACAATCTTTCCTCTTTAGTTAAAGGTTTCGATGTGGGAATTTGTTCCAAATCCCAAAATGATTTAACTAATTCCTCCGTGTTTACGTTTAGCGTATTGACTGAAACCTGCTTACGGTTTGGGAATTCAAAATGTGTAGTTCCAGCAATTATCCATCCTAACTTAGAACAACATGCAAATGGAAGATTTTTGCCCCTTTTAATTACCTCGCCATTTATTAAAGTAAGGAATACATTAACTCCAAGTAAAATATCAATTTCTCCCGATTCATGAAATGTAGGATCTGCTAAAGTTAAATCTTCGAAACTTTCATATAAATTCAAAGGTAAAGTTACACTTGGAATGTTTCCTGTAATTTTGTCTATTATGTAAGCGGACGTTGAAATTCTGTAATTAGTATTAAAATGAGGTGTATTAATAAATTATTGCCTATACCTCAATATAAAATTATTGGGTTTGGAGTGGTATCCAACGCAAGACGAGTAAACAACAAGTCAACTTCTCCAGTAGTAGTTGTATTGAAAGTACCTAAGCATGACACTAATATCTTCGAATCCTTTATGCTCAATCCTAAATTGATAGCTGTTTTCCGACGAATGAATGATTTTTCACTACCTGAATCTAGTAAACATCTACAATTTATGAATTCCTGGTTTGAGTTTTGAACCTTAATTAAAGCAGTACACAAAAGTACATGACTACGTTTACCATTAGCATGAGCTCCAAAATGTTTATTTTCATAGTTGTTTGCACAAACAGTTGGAGAAACCTCACTCAAGCTGTTTTCTGGTTTAATTTGCGATTTCGGAACAAACACTTGTGCTTCCGGTGAAGGGAATCTAGATGCATTTTTTGGTTTGAAATTATTTTCTAAATGCAAAATGCTATGATGATGCTTAAAACAATGCTTGCAGGTGTTTGCACTCTTACACATTTTAACTTTATGGACATTAGACAAGCAATTAAAACAAAGTTTATTAGTCTTAACAAACTCTATTCGTTTTTGCACTGGTAAATTTAAAAAATTAGAACACCTGTATAAAAAATGATCTTCTTTACAAAATAAGCAGGTAGAATTAGAAATCAGAGAAGTAACCCTATTATACACTGGTTTATCTGATTTATGCGTTTTACTAACTAAAGGTTTACTGTTCTGTAATGTTCTAGCGTAATTCTTCAAAAATTCTATCAAGTCATTCAACTTTGGTATTTCATCTTTTTTTAATTGACGCTCCCACCACAACTTTGTCGAAACGTCAAGTTTTTGCAAAATAATATACAACAACAAAGTATCACTAAAATTATCTATCCTTTGATCTAATATTTCCAATGAGCGAGTTATTTCGTTTACGTTATCTACTAAACTTAATATCGAGGATGCAGATTCCTTTTGTATTTGTGAAACGTTAAGAATTCTTTTAATAAAAGCAAATATCTGTTCTCTCTTATTAGAAAATCTCTCATCTAGTAAATTCCAAGCAATACTGAAATTTTGATCAGCTATGGGAATTGACTGAATAATGCGATAAGCATCATTTTTCAAAGAACTCTTTAAATATTGTAATTTTTGAGCTCCAGAAAGATTTGAATTGTTGCGAACACTAGCGTTAAATAAATCTTTAAATGTTATCCATTCAGTTAAATTTCCGCTAAATGTGGGTAAAGATAATTTCGGTAACTTTAAACTTTCAGAGATTGATTCAGGTACGACAGGTTTGTCGCCATTTGCATTTACGACCTTGTAAACCTTTAACTTACGAATAATTTTTAAGTGAACCTCCTCAATTTTCTCTAAAATCGACTGTTCTTCCTCAACGAAAGTGTCTATTTTTTCATCATCACAATTTGTATAAATTTCTCTAAATAGAGATTTAAAATCTTCCTTAAAAATTTTACATTTTTCTAAGATTAATTCAGCTTCAGCATTATCTAAGTTATCATAATCTATTCTCTCAATAAATTTAGTTAACTGTGTTTTCAAAATTTTCTTTCGCTTTTTTTCTATATCTGACATTTTGAAAATATTCTAAATTCTCGATTTTACTAATACTTTAAACACAACAATAGTAGCAATAAGGAAATCTCAAATGCAATTAAAATGCGTTAGCTATTTCACTCACCTCGAACATTGTATGCATTCCGTAAGTCTTGAGAATTCTAAACCGAAATTGCATTATCAACTCCATTACGGACACGTAGAATTCTTATTCACAAGCGCGGGTTTTACTCGAAGCTCCGGCGTATGACGACCAAATAATGTAGCGAAGCGGTATCTTAACTTTAAATTAATAAACCTAAGAATACATCAATGCGAGTGGACTGTAAATTTAACCTTTATTCGGCGGTTTTAACTTTCGAACACAACACAGCACAAAGTAAAACGACAGAGTTACAATTAGCGGTTTTAAGAATGCAAGAACAAAATGCGAACTACGCATACAATCTGCGCATTGCGAAATAATATCTCACAGACAGGCAGAGAGCTCTGGTGGCTGAAACAGACAGCGTTGCTAAGGTGCTTTAAGGGTAAGAACTATTACTGTTCAACGTATCCTGACCGAAAACTGAGAAGAATTCTTTGTAGACGGTTCTAACATCAAAACTGGAACACTGAAGTACAATAATCAATCAGAATTAGGACTATTAAGATTTTAGCTATAGTTAGTTAAAAAAAACCGAGCAGCTTCGAAATAGTACGCGCAATTTTTTAAAATTTATATATTTATATGCTTACTTTATTAAGCCAAAGGATCTTAGTTCAGAAGGGCTATGAGATACATTCCGCTGACCTCATAGATCACGTGACTTATGTATACCTTTTGTAAACAAACAATGCAGATGACCTCAGAGATCACGTGACTTATGTACAGCTAATGCAAACAAGCAAGGTCATTCTTCCTCTTCTTCTCTCGCGGAATGTATCTCATTAATTTCGTTTTGGCGTTTTGCGTCGGTTCACTATAAAAGTCTGAATCACTTTTTCATATTGTTGCCACCAAATCTTAGAGTCCTACATTATATTTAAAGAAATTAAATAATGAAGAGTCTGCATAAATATATGTATGTTTCTCGCATTGTGAAAAAACAACGGTACCTAGAGCCAATAAATTTTGAATAACGTAGTCTTTCATTCGAATATGGGCATCTGGAACCCAAATTTTTGAAATTTAGAATTCTATTATCTGTTTCATATTTTGTAAAACTTGAACGAATTTGTGATTAAAAAACTCAGCGATTTCAAAGCGTTCCATTAACATTAACATCCCGTGTATCTTCCAAGCATAGATATTTTATGCGCGAGGTTTCTTTTTTTGAGATATTGCTGTTAAATTGAATTTTATGGTTTAAATGCGAAGAACATGATATTTAATAAATAAAGGTAACACACACACACACACACACACACACACACAAAAAAAAAAAAAAAAAAAAAAAGCCTCTTTGGGCATAATATAAAATCTGAAAGCTTTCAGATTTTTTTTGTTTTATTTTTAATAATGTATTTAATTGATATAATTTATAATTTAATTAATTTGATACAATTTATAATGCTTTGTTTAATAAAATGGTAATATGCAGAAATTAAGTAGTAATTTGTTTGTAGACCAATGATGGAAGTCAAGATTATGTAAACTTAATAAGGGTTTTCTAAAAAGCGCAATATTAAAATAACCCTTCATTAAATGCGTATTCAGACTGTTTCCCCGCAAGTTTACCTCATCAAGTTTACCTACTTTTGCATGCTATTAAATAAGTAATACTGCAATTATATTTTAATGAGCTCTCGCAGCAAAGTATGAATGATAAAAATGGCCTTATTATGAAGCATTTTATCATTCGCATTTCGTAAATATTATGTAGGAATTGCCATCATTAATTTTATGTCACGTAATCATCGTGAAATAATAAAAAGAAATTAAAGCATTTTGTTAACAATAGCATTTTAAATTTTATATACCCTTATTTTCAAAGTAAATTAAAAAATATCGAACATTGTTGAAATACTAATTAGAACGTTTTATGTAATTTGACCCTGAAGCAAAATACACATTGAAAGCAAATATCTATTGTGGTTTTCCATTATGAAAATCAATAGATTAGCATTGTATTAATTTTCTTTTCCAGTGCCTCTCCCATGCTTGGTATCTGGCTGCAGATTTCCAGATTTACGTTTTCTGTATCCCGATCGTAATTTTGATTATTAGGTATGTATTTCTATTGCAGAGTTTTATGATTTATACCACATAATTCAGGGGCATAGTCAACTTACCATTCATAACACTTAATATGATTAGTAAATTTAAGTTAACCTTACTTCATTCTGTTCTACTAGGCCGAGTGACGAAATTTAACTTGCTTTCTTCAGGTCTCGAAATTGTGAATTAGGATATGTATATAAGATTTATATATATAGCGTTGTTCTAACGCAGGTATTTTGACACAAAATTGGATTTTTTTCAACATGACGTAAAATGTTGATTTATATTCCAATTCTGTTGCTTAATTATTCCCAAGGTGGCAAATTTCGTAAAAAATGCGTGAGTCTTCTAAAAAAATTAGCTTTCAAAATTTTAGCTCCTCAATATTAGTTGAATTTGGTATACATTTATTAAAATCTCTTTTTTTAATTAAACTTACATGAGTCCTTCTTTCACAGTTCGCAGTTTAGGTTCAATCCAAATAAAATTCCCAAATGCTTTCTCATTTATTTAAAAAATAGTTCGTTTTTAGTAATTTTTTGTAAATTTTCCAAAAATTATTTTGAATTATAACCTACAAATGTTTTACCATCACCTTAAAGTAGATGTATTTCTAAGCACCTCTGCAAAAAATTAGATTTCTTTATTCATAATTTCCTAAGATATACGTATTTATATGTAGACGCGCTTTGAATTTTGGCATATTTCTTATAAGAGATAATACCGCCAAATGTGATTTACATGTTTTGTTAAAATTATTTGAAAATATGAATGCTTTTCTTTCCTCTCGTCCAGAGTGAAAGAGAAAGGAAAATAGAGGTTATCACAAATGAAGAATTTCGTCAAGTGAATTAATTCTTCTAGGAGCAAACTGAAAAATGTTTGTCAAAATAAATATTTAAATTTCTTATCAAATTTTACAAAATTTAATAGTTAGGCATAATGTGAGTCTTAGAATCAAAATATGAAAAAAAAAAAAAAAAAAAAAAAAAAAAAAATCAGTGTGTCATTTAAGGAAAAGTCCGATTTGGGTCAAACTACCTATGTCATAACAAAAGTTTTAATGTCTGCGTTTCTTTTTTTTAGCAGAAGATAATTATATTCAATAAAATGAAAAACTCGTTTCTTTTCTAGCGGACAGCTGGCATTAAATTGCAATGTGCTTTCACTTCTATCCAACAGATGGCAGCACTCGATCATATGTGCGCGTAATCGGAAAATTTCTGACAAAGTCCGCGCTGTGTATTTCTGTAGCATTTATTATTAGCTTGTTTAAAGATATTATATGTATATGTATTATTAAAAGGAAACTGAAATTTTAAGTCTAATTTTCACTAAATAAAAGGAAATTCTAACCGTCACTACTTAATATCAGTTCAAAAGTATGTTTCACACATCATACGAAAGTGATGTGTAGCCTTGGCTACTAATGTTTAAAATTAATTTATGACTAGTAACAGCATGAATTATAAACAAATAGCTAAGTTATTGCATTTTATTTTCCAGCTATCGAAATGCGACGCTACGAGCAACGTTTTGAAACCAAAACCTCGCAATCATGAATCAGAACTAGAACTAGTTGCCATTCAGCATAAAGAAATTTAAATATAAATATGAACTACTTATTGCCATTCAGCATAAAAGAAATATAAATATGAATATTAACAAAATATTAAAGTTAATTTAGTTTTGATTAGATTTTCAGACACATCTGTAGTAGCAACTGATCTCAACTTCTGCAAAAGTTGGCTTGGTTTCATGTCTCCAAGTTCGATACCAGTAATCAAACGTTTAATCCGTACATTTTCACTTTCTTTGAATAAATGTAATAACCTAATTTTAGCATCCGAATATTTTGTGGCACTATCGTTCGTTACAATGTCCCAAATATTTTCGACGAACTTAGGTTCAAGCTGTGAAACTAAATAATTAAATTTCGTTTCTTCTGAAACGATATTACTAATTTTGAACTGAGCTTCAACTTGAAAAAACCATATTTCCGGTTTATCAATCCAAAAAGGAGGTATTTTTACACTCACCTTATGAAGCTCCGGTGACTGCATCGTATCTTTCATAGCAGTTTCAGAAGAGTCATTTGTTGACATTTCGAAAATTAATCAGGGTCACCACGATGTAGCCTTGGCTACTAATGTTTAAAATTAATTTATGACTAGTAACAGCATGAATTATAAACAAATAGCTAAGTTATTGCATTTTATTTTCCAGCTATCGAAATGCGACGCTACGAGCAACGTTTTGAAACCAAAACCTCGCAATCATGAATCAGAACTAGAACTAGTTGATATTCAGCATAAAGAAATTTAAATATAAATATGAACTATTTATTGCCGTTCAGCATAAAAGAAATATAAATATGAATATTAACAAAATATGAAAGTTAATTTTATAAAATAATTACACATGAACAAATATATGAAATAAAAAATAATTATTTCTCATTCAATAACTGGGCCACTACAGATGAATTAAATATTATTTCTGACTTTCTAGATTAATAATCAGTACTTCTCTGTTACCAGGACCGTGTTCAGAAATGTGTGTATGCATGCATGCATGTGTTCGTGTATATATATTTGTAAGTACGAATGTATGAGTATGTGTACACATACACATCCTACATTTCTGAATCCGGTCCAGGTAACTAACAGTACCTAATAATTACCTGTTTGAAATAAAATAATAGTTACTTTCCTATTTATTTGCTGCCTACTTTTATAAATGAAAGATAAGTTGTCCAAATCACACATTTATAAAAGAAAGTATTTTACATAACTAATACATTTTTATTATTGTATTAACATTAGAGAAAGCGGCAGTAAATTTCTTGTGAATAGGATCTTAGAAAATCATGTTAATTTTCTCAAATAACGTTAATTGGCTCTGTTTTGTTACTTGCAGGAAACCTCGTATCGGACTATGGGTGAACTTTACCGTGATGATGTTGTCCATTTTAGCAGTTGGTATCCACAATTATATCAGAGATTTTCCTCCTACTCTGCTTTTCACACATGCTGATTTTGAGTAAGTATATATAAGTGTACATAAATCTTTATGGGTCTTTACTTTTTCATTTATTTGTCGTAGATATTTACTTCCGGATTTAAAATGTTTGAAATGATGCAAATATTCATATTTTAGTAGTTTTAATTTTAAAAAATAAATTTTTTAAAAAATCACAAAATATAATTTTTATATAGTACCTTGGTTTCTAAAGTAATATTTAGGAAGATTTTATATTAATTATAAAGTTTATCTCCTCTATAACAAACACTGAACAAGACATTTAATTTCAAAAAAGATTTTTTGCTTCATTTCTATTTTGCCTTAAGTCGGTTAATAAAAAAATTACAATAATTCGAGGTTAATTTTTCATCCCTTAAGTGACATCCAATGAGATACTTTTCTGATTTACTGACACGTAACTTTCTTTAATTTATAATTTTGTTACAAGTCATATGGCGAAAGAATTTCCGCACAAGCTATTTATAAGTATTATATATACACCAACACCTAATCGCATTTGCCGGACAAGTTGCATTTAAATGCAATATCTCGGCACAATTAATAATGAATGAATGAATCGCATTTAATCAAGAATTCATTATTATTCAAAGAAAAAAAAAGTGCATCATATTTAGGAAAATTCATTTTTGAAAAATCTTCTTAAGCGATATTCCTGTAGAATTTTTTACCGCACCATATGTATATATTACAAAAAAACAAAAAAATTGTTCACGTATTTACCCAAGATAAGATTTTTACTCTAAAAAATGTACAGAAAATTGCTTTTCAAGAAAAGATGTGCCTCCAAAAAATTGCTTTAAGAACTATTCTGCTGAAACTCCAATAATTCCTCAAACGAATAATAGATGGCGACACCTATGCCAAGTAGTACAGCATTAAAACCAACTTATACTCATAAGTTGGCCTTGAGCATACCAAGGCCAACTTATACTCAAGGCCTGCCAGACTGAACGAAATTCCGGTTCCCAGTTTTCAGTGGCTTTCGCGAAATCCACCACTAGGTGGCGCTCACATTCTGCTACAATTTTGCTATACGCTCATTATTTGTAACGTGGCTCGTTATTAACAAAAAGTGTATTTTATGTCTAGCTGCTGTATATTTAAGGACTATACTTATCAAGCTTGGTTTTTTTTGCGTAACTTTATATGCATATAGGTTTAAAATTGTGTATATACCTCATTGAACTCAGTTATGAAATTCCTCATTCTGCTTATTTAATTCTGAAATCTTTGTGCATCTAATGCTGTTATTTTCAAAACTTTGTTTGTAACTTCTAATTAATCTGGAATGGGAATGGTACACATGGATTTATGTCAGGTAGTTACATGTAGGTAATGTATCAAGATGGCACTCATGTGTGTTTTAATAGTGATAATATTGTTTTGTGAAATTCAGTAATTTTATTTCATGTATACATTATTCTTGATAATGAACTATATCAGTATCTCACGCTGCCAGCCATAAAATTTTGTACACATGTCATTCTGATTAATGTTGCATATGTGTAAAAAATGTCTACCTGCTGTATATTTAAGGGTTGTACTTAATTACTGTACTTATTACTTTGTTTTTTTGGCCTAACTTTATATGCACATAGGTTTAAAATTGTGTATATACCTCATTGAAAGCAGTTCTGAAATTCTTCATTCTGCTTATTTAATTCTGAAATCTTTGTGCATCTAATGCTGTTACTTTCAAAACTTTGTGTGGAACTTTCTTCTGATTAATCTGTAATTTATGTCATGTAGGTAATGTATCAAGATGGCACTCATGTGTGTGTGTGCTTAATAGTAATAATATTGTTTTGTGAAATTCAGTAATTTTATTTCATGTATACATTATTCTTGATAATGAACTATATCAGTATCTCACGCTGCCAGCCATAAAATTTTGTACACATATCATTCTGATTAATGTTGCATATGTGTAAAAAATATCTAGCTGCTGTATATTTAAGGGTTATACTTAATAAGCTTGTTTTTCTTTGCCTAACTTTATATGCATATAGGTTTAAAATTGTGTATATACTTCATTGAACTCAGTTCTGAAATTCTTCATTCTGCTTATTTAATTCTGAAATCTTTGTGCATCTAATGCTGTTACTTTCAAAACTTTGTGTGGAACTTTCTTCTGATTAATCTGTAATTTATGTAATGTAGGTAATGTATCAAGATGGCACTCATGTGTGTGTGTGCTTAATAGTAATAATATTGTTTTGTGAAATTCAGTAATTTTATTTCATGTATACATTATTCTTGATAATGAACTATATCAGTATCTCACGCTGCCAGCCATAAAATTTTGTACACATGTCATTCTGATAAATGTTGTATGTGTGTAAAAATGTCTACCTGCTGTATATTTAAGTGGTGCATTTAATAAGCTTGTTTTTTCTTTTGGCCTAACTTTAAATGCATATATATCTAAAATTGTATATATACCTCATTCTATTTAGCATTATGGGCATGTATGAGGGATATATTATTTATATTCAGCCATTGCAAGTTTTCAAATTTTATCCTTGATATACAGAACTGAACGTTTTCTTAAGTATATATTGTGATTATGAGAGTTATTATTTTTTTGTGTGCTGTTAAAATATATTTTATGATGTCTGTGTCTCTTTTATTTATAACAAACAGATTGATTTGATCAATAACTTTATCAAAAATTTCATTATTTTCATTTGAAAAACTGAAGTTTCTCTAACACTGAAAATGTGAATTGCTCCAATGCACTTAATTCAATTACTAGTTTCTTAATGTTAACATCAATGAAATTTAGAATACAAATGAAAGTGAAGAAAAACACACCTGTGTAATATTAAAATTAGTCAAAAAAAGCAACTTTGGGTTTGAGTTCAAAATCTATGCCACAGTAAGTCCTTTTTTTTTTTTTTTTTTTTTTTTTTTGCCTAATAATTTTAGAATATCATCTGCAATGCAAATACTGCACAGAGATCAAAATCTGCATTATTTAAACTTTTATTGTTTAAGATTTCCTAAAAACAGTTATTTAATAATTAAAAAATTCTTCAGTATGTAAAATTTAATCTCTTTAAGTAATATTTTTACTTTAATCTCTTTGAGTAATATTTTTACTCCAATGCCGTGGAAACAGATATACAAATTTTAGAACACGGTGTATTAATATGTTGATTACATCTTTGATAGGGGAATACTAAATTACTTTTTGGCTCAGTACAGCCGATAGAAATATTTTGAAAATTTTTCACTGAAATAGTACATGATCTGAAGCTATCTGTTAACTTCTTACTATATAAATAATTAAAAAATAAGGTGTACACTCTGAATTACCTTTAAATTAGAATAAATAGTTATAATGCGTACAATTCAGAATAGCGAATGTCTAAAAGAAAGCAGGAATTAAAATCGAGATCAAATAGCTGGTGTTTACGTGTGAAAAAAAAAAAAGGTGAGATAGCTTGAAATTCCATGCTTTCCTTCTAATTAAAATATTTTTACTAATAAGAAATCAACAATTTCTGACTACTATGGATTAATCGTTTTCAAACTTTGCATATAACAAGACAGAATTCGTTTTTGGTACTTTCCCGATTTTTGTAAACATCGCAAAGTGTAGCAGAATTGTAGCGCCATCTTGCGGTCAGTAGGAATATCACGCAGGCAACCGAAAACACAAAAGAATATTTTCACACTGGCAGGCCTTGAGTATAAGTTGGCCTTGAGCATACTAAGCAGCTTTTCATTTTCAAAAATAGATGGAGCCACATGAGCACCTTAGTATCTTCTAAGTTTATTTATCTCTCAGCAGATGGCGGCACTGGAGCCTCCATTAAAAATCTCTGAATTCTAGCACACTATGTGTACATGTACTTTCCATTCTAGTGGATTCAACTCACTTGATCCTCAAGATTTAGAAAAGTCAAGAATAATATATTGGTAAAGGCCGCAATAGGCCGATTGCCTCTTACCCGAAGTTAAGATATAAGACATAAGACCTGCAACAGAGCAGAAGGAATCTCCAAGCGCAACTGCGGGGCATCAGTATGTTTTTGTGCTAAAAAATATATTTTAACTGTTAAATTCTTTTTAATTTCGATATGAAGTACTAAGTATTTTATGAATGGATTTTTAACTACATAATAATTCAAGTAGTATTTAAAAATATTTAGGTTCAGATAAATATTAATCACTCCTGGAAACTTCATCCTGGGAAAGGGGGAGGGGAGAACCAACCTGTGAAACGTACCTGTTTATTTTTCTAATGCTATGTAATTATAATTTTTAACAGAAGATCAAAAATTCTTTTTCTTCTTTTTTTCTTACTAACAAATTTCAATCTTCTTGTCATTACAGGCAAAGAAATCAACTGATGATGGAGATCTATTATCCACCGTACCAGCACTTAGGACCATTCTGTATTGGCATTTTTGTCGGTTATTACCTCCGAATATACAGATCCAAATTAAAAATGCACTGGGTACGTATATCAGTAAGAATTTACAGGAACCTTCGTTAACATCAATCTCAAGGGACCGACAAATCAAAAGTTTATGTTTGCTGGGGATTCGAATATTATTTTTGATTCGAATATTTATTATTTTCGAATTTTATTTATTCGAATATTTAACATTTTTCTACACATTAACCATTTGTAGTGTATAGTTAGGTAAGAATTACAATATATAATTGATGTCGTCATAGAAATACTACAGTACCGCATTAAATACTGTATTGTAACTTGATGGAGTGCATTCGCACATCACGAAGCGCGCGGGTAACGGTGCTCATGACTTCCATAAAAATAGCGTTTAGTTCGGATATTGCAGGATAAAGTTTTACAGGCTTGTAACATTACCTGGTGGGTGGGAGGAATGGTATTATCCTCCTCACTTTCTTCTGATGACCTATATTGTACATCAGATACAACTGCTTGTACTTTCTCTCCTAGATCACACACGGAAAAGTCGTCATTTGCACTAACAAACTCCGCAAAACTCATAGTTGACGCTAATGATCACGATTGTCGAGTTAGTATATTTTAAAGAATGCAGTCTTTTTTGTAAAGTTTTCAATTAAACGGTACGGAAAGTTTCTGAACGCAATCCTAGCAGAGAAATAATAAGGAAAAAAGTATCTGCAGCACTTCTTAATCTCACACTCATGTCTGCCACTTGACGTTTCAAAATGTGAATCTGTAGCATTTTAACTCTAAACTCTTCAGCCAACCAGAGAAGCTCTCAAATGATAAATATCGACAATGCTAATTACACATTTATTTTTTGACTGCCAGTAGCCGAGAGAAATAAGATAGTTAAGCACTGGTGAATTATCGTCAAGTTTGTGCTGTCTTTTGTGGTTTGGCCCATATATAAGCTGAAAACGAACCAGTTTCCTTTTCTGAAATCTCGCAACGTATTAACGACTTCTTCACACCTCACGTGACAAGGTAGTCACGCCCTCTCAACATCTGCAATCCTGACTTAGGTCTCGCTCATGCATTCTCCTACTTTCAGCGCTCTATAGCAACTAACTCAGACAGCCGGAACAAAACTTGCAAATCCTGCAAGTTAATCAGCAGCGCATCCAGCGGTACTTGGAACTTGGAAAGTTTCCTTTGGAAAGTATTTCAAAAAGACAACTTTCTAGAATAGAATAGATCTCAGCCATACTCAGCTATGGGACAGAAAAAAAAAGCATTTTCCTTTAAAATAACGTTCTTCTTACGGTTAAAGGTTTAAACAGAGAAGTCTATAGCTGCTGTTTAAGATTAAAAGACTGAACGGGGGAAAGCAACAGCGTTTTGTTCATGGCTGTGCATTTGTCATCAAGAAATTCAATGTAAAAATATATGCTACTGCTCCTAATTTTCTCGTTTGTTTTTTTGATTTTTTTTATCTTTGTACTGGGCTGAATTGCCACTTAAAACCGAGTTGGACCGAAGACCCCTAATCAACTTATAATTCTTTTATAACATTTTCTCTGATGAAATCTGTGCGTAGAAGCCTATGTCATTTTATATATAGGCTGTGCTTTCTGACTATGTTCTGTGACTTCTATTGAAATTTCACTCTATCTGACACATTTTTCAGAGTTTATGAGACATTCAAAAAATTGTAATGAGAAGATTAAAAGAGTATTATACCGCTTGACCCCTTCTAAGGCATCCAGAAGCTCTACGAATGCACTAAGACATATGTAATATTAGAAGAAATTTATGTAGAAAGAAAAGAAGTTTTTGTTTTCTTCAAAACAAGATTTCAAAGCATTCAGTAATAAATCAAAAGCAATGTATTCTATTGCTACCTTTTCCAAATGATGAATCTGATAGATATAATTCTGAAGTAGATCAATCGGATTCCTGATTAAAAAATCGTTCTTAGTTGTGAGTCGTATTTCTGGGTGAGAAACAGCTTTTGCAAATATTGTATTTACCTTGAAATGATAGGAAAGGCACTTATGTGGAATGAATATATCTTCTAATTTCCTCCTTTTCAGAAAGTAGTAAGTAAATCAACAAATTTTTTCCTAAATAATTAGATGTATATTGTTATATACAATGAAACCTCCGTTCATGAATTTAATTCGTTCGTGAAGGCCATTCAACATCTGTAAAGTTTTCAAAGCGAAACTATTTTACCACAAGAATTAACGTAAAATGTATAAGTTCCTTTTTGAACCCCAGATGGCTACTTATTTAAAACTTAAAAACGTACTTTGTGTGTTCCCTGCCAGGGTCGACTGGGAGCAATCTCGGAGTTCTGGCTAGGTCAATATCTAGATAGACTCGACTTCTGGGGAAAAATTAAGGCTTCACAGTGACTAGAACCATCGTTTATTCGGTGGTAGGTTCAGGCTCGGAAGGAACCATATGGTACTGTCTTGTCTGCCGCTTGGTTGTGGGGACGTCAGGTGGTCGATATCGAAGGTTGTCCTTGGGGTTTGGTTCCCTTGGGTCTATACTGGGATACGGTAGATGTCGAATTATGTTCCGAGCTTTTCAGTGGATGCCAGCCGTCCACCATTGCCATCGTGTTGCACTTCTCAAACTTTGTAAACAAAAATAGTACCCTTGGGTGGCCTCTAGGGGTTGAGGCGTTTAAATGTCTAAGGTGGCTATCGAGCCAGCCAGGTCTGGGTGCCCCTTCCTCCTAGTGCACTGTACTTTGCATATGAGATCCTAGCACGTAACTGGAAGAAATGATTAAATCTAAGGCAAAAAAGATAAGCACACAGTTAAAAAGATAAGCCAAACGAAAATTAATTTAGACCGAATTGGTGTGATCGGAATAAATGAAAATGGATGATGAAGAGGAATTGTATTGTTTGGACAATTCGCGTAAAGACATTGTAACTGACTTTCCTGAGTAAGTTCTTTCACCTTTTCTATGTCGCTGAGTTCTATTCGACTATGCTTGAGACTTACTAAACCCCCTTTTCATTAATGTATGCCCTGTATGATTTATTTTTGTCTACATTTTAAAATGTTTGTTAAGAGAGATTTGACATTGTCATTGAAAATGCATACGCTGTAGCTTACTACTGCTTTATCAGGTCGATATTATTAAGTGAAAATTTTGTCTCTTATCTGTTTTTACTAAAACTGAGAATTGAAGAGCAAAGATCAACTTTTCTTCCTTCTTCTTTCTCTAAAGACATTTCCTCCGCAATCGCCTTTTGTTTTGCTTGTGAAGTTATTGCAGTTCTTTCTTGTTCAGCTCATTTTTAATGGTCGCTAGTAAATGACCCGCATATTCATTAACTTTTAAGTCCACGATTTTCCCTAGAAACACAATAGTACAGATAGGAGGGAAAAAATATCCCTTAAGTGTTAAAGCTCTCAAAGTCTCTGCCTGCTATACTGGCCATAACTTCGTAATTTCTTTCAGGTTGAATGCTGCCTGGATTTGATAATTTGTTTGACAATTTAGCAATGGAAAATGTAAAAATTATGTTTCTGAAAGTTAGCACTGTTTACCTCAAAACGTGTTTACGAATCATTTATTGCATGCGTGACGTGTGAATGCTCTTAAGACTCTCTTTATAATCTTCTTATTCCGAGACACTATCTTTGTCTCTCTTCATATCGAGTACACTCTTTAGCATCCAAGGATAATTTTTCGTGAACCAAATCATTCGCAAAGATTCGTGATCCGAAGTTCAGTTGCATAGGAAACGAACAAATTGCGTGAAGATGAAAATCTGTAATATAAATATATATGAATAACTAAATGAGGTCTTATTCTATATAGCGTCAATGCAATTCCTAAAAGATTTTTCAAAAGGAATTTATTTACATTTAGTATAAATATGAAGAGTCATGAGGAATGGCTATATTTCTCTATTATAAAACAAGGAAATAATTTTCTGACATATAAATATCTAAGATTATTTACGTATCTAAAATGAGGCAAAGATTATTCTAAATTGATATTACTTAGAGCAATTTGACCACTTCCCTATTTTATTCCGAAAATATTGTTTCAAAAGGAAGACATAATGACTGTTGGCGTTCAAAAATTAAGTGGACTTGCAGAAAACATGAGTAAGAGACATAATGATTTCGTGACATTTATTTATTGCGTCGCTTGACCTTTTGGAAATAGTATTTCCCTGAATCATTTAGTTCATAATGGTGTTTACCTTTTGAACATATCCTGTCTGTCATTGAACTACGGAGGTTTTTAGTAGAGTTTCAAGAAGTCAATCTCTTAAAATATTTGCGCTGTTGAATTGTGTCTAAATAATTACAGAAATTTTAATTTGGACTCTTTAAGCATCTGTTTATTTACAATTTTAAATGGACATAATAATGAAACTACAAATATTTGAAAGCAGCACAATGTTCACCAATTACAAACTTTGATAAAATATTGATAATTATTTGAAGTTTTATTTTTTACGTGAGCATCTGTCTAGCTAATATTAAAGCCCATTAAAGACACAGAATTTCAATTAATAAAGATTTGGATAATTATGAAGAGTGTAAGAATTTTTCCAGGATTATCTTCTGAGACGAATGCTAATAAATTAATTATAGGAAAGTTAAAGTAGAACGGAAAGGGATTGGTAATGTACATAAGGTTTAACAGACTTGACGACGAAAATTTTAAGGGGAGACAGAGAGTGACAAAAGTAATAATTTTCATAGTACCGTTTGTGATGGACTAAGAAATGAGAATGGTGAAACATAATAAGTACAAAGAATATAAAAATTAAAAAGCTGCTTTAATCATAGATATTTTCAAAAATTGTACAAAAGAACAACTTTTTTTACTATATATGTATTAAAACGCCGATGGAGTGACTGGCGTATGTTCTGGAAGAAGCACGGGACGTTATGTACTTCTGAAGCAGTGATGCTAATTTTGGCGGCTGGGTCTTCAGGAGAGTGAAACGGGGTTGAATTCGGCGATAAAGTATTTAAGACAGTCATCGTAAATAATGCATTTCAGCCGTCCCCAGAGGAAGAATTGGAGGCAAGAAAGATACGGTGATTTAAGGGCTAAATTATAAGTCTCTTGGGTGAAATATACCGTCGTTTTTTTATCGTATTGTGTAAAAGTTTCATTTTTTGATTTTCATGGCCTCTAAAAATATTTCTGTAGGGTAATCTGGCCGCTCTGATTTGTTTGGGTTTTCGGCTGTTATAATAGTTGGGCTCGCGTTCAAATCCTAGAGAAGGCAGGGACGTTTGTAAGTTCACAGTTTAACATGAGAGCGCTGAAAATACACGGAGAGCTGTTAAGTCCTTTCAAGTAATTTGGAGGTAGGAGAAGACGAAGGGATCATCCTCTGGACCTACATTATACGGACCCATCAAAACTGGGGCGGAGGAACTTAACAGTTAGTGAAACGGGACTACACCTCTATGATCAATGGTAAATTTCTGGTTTCCGCCTTACTGTATCTGTAGAATAATATTGTTCCGTTTTCTCTTCCTTCTGACACCAGTTGTTACGTTATTTTCTTCCTTCACGTTCGTACGGGGTTCGTATGGATTTTGGAGTGAATAATGACGACACTACTTGATAAAGTATCGAAACACACTTTATTAACCAGTATTGTCAGGACAGCTCCAAAACCCGTTTACAGTCGTCGATGAACTCATAAACACGCTGACACGATCAGCGACACAGCCTTCAGGTTATCAGGCTATCACGGTGGAGACAGCTTAACTGCAAAGCACCTGAGTACAGCTACCGACTCCTCGGAACTTCACGTACTCTCGAGACTCTCCACGCTACAACTTGCGATGCACTCGACGGCACACAGAGCACGGCTACCGACTCTTCAGTTCAGTCGTTCCCGGAGCTCAACACGCTCTCTCGACGATGCACTAACCGCGATACACTAAGAGACTCCTTCGGTGAACTCGACAACCCACTCGGCACTCGCTGCCCGGCTGTCATCTCGATCGACTCCGCAGGAATTGACTCGCTAGACGAGACACCAACTCGATATTGACTATCTCGCACTCTATCCGAGGCACACAACACACACTCGCCCTCTCGATGAAGCACACACTTGATGAGAGACACACACTAACTAACTGCGGACCAGCAGTTAGCAGGGTTTATATATCTTTCGTCTTGTGTTCGAGAACATTCTGGGCTAAACCGGTAAGAATTCGTTCCAGAAGGTTCTCCAACCGTCCATGGTATATTGCCACTTAGTCGCCAAATGGACAATTTCTCGTTAAATGTGGCAACCTTTCCTTCCATTGCCATTTTATGGCAACCCTAAAACTGCTTTGCGGGGAAGCCATTTTACCGCGCCTGTACATTTCGTAACAATATGAAGAAAGAGTACACACGCATAATGTTTGAACTACGAAGATTTAGACCCTAGCTTAATATCTAGAACTGAGGAAACTCACCATAAAATGCTGGGATGAATTGGCTTACTTTGCTGCGTACTTCTTTGCATCCAGTAGCATTTATAGTACTCACTGAGATGTCATGATACTAATATAAAAATCAATGAATCATCGTATAAAAGTCAATGATTAATCGTATAAAAGTCAATGAATCATCGTGATGGTCAAAAAAGCATTATTGCTTGTAAAACAGAAGCAAAATACAAGCAGCAGTTAGTGAGCAAAATAAACGTTCAAGTTACATGTTGCAACACTGTGCACTGAATTAACGGAATACAAGAAACTTTCTAAACAGCATGTGTTATTTAGCTCCGAAGGTCTTCAGAATTATTGAATTATCCCTATATAATCTTTCAAATAGTCCTAAAAACGCTTTGACAGTCGAAATTAACTCCAAAACATTAAAAAAAACTTTACCCGTAAGATCACAGATGTCATTTTTATTATTGAGTAAACAGTCTCAGCTAGTCACTCGCCAAGAAAAAAGAATTACGTTTTTGGATATTGCGCAAATAATTGATTTCTAAAATTAGAGATTCTTGAATTTATATGAATTCCTTATAAATTAGAAATTCGCATTTGAATTACAGGTGATGCAAACTTTCCTCTGGGCACTGGCATTTATGCTCTTATCATCGACATTATTTGGTGTTCATGCATGGAACAGTGGCACAGGAGCTACAGGAGTCGTGGCAACAGTTCTGTACGCAAGCTTAAGTAGAGTAGCATGGACCATCGGATTAGCTTGGATTACATTAGCAACCAGCACAGATGGAGAAGGTAGGACATATTTCGTTATAAAATGGTAGTGATCATTAAATAATTATTATGTTTTTAGGTAATATAAAATGTTTGTGGTTATGAATTAATAGTTATATTTTGTATTTTATATTTAGTTTGTTCCTTTCTTCTTTTAAAATTTTTAAATCTTCTAAATACGTTATGCTTTCTTGCAATTTATTGATGTCTTAATTTAATTCTATTTCAGCCTTGAATAAGCCTTGAATTTAAAATTTAATTTTTGAATACAATTCTTTCTAATACTTTATTTGACCATGCCGAATCACTCGAGAGCTATCTGCCAAAGGAGAGGGATGCCTTCCTGGAGGACCTTTCTGAGGAAAACTGGCTTGTGTTCCCTTTACATATGGGGGAAGCCACGAAAGCGCCTATGAAGCCATCTCGTTCGCCGGGATTTGAAACCCAGACTAAACTACCAGTCTTCAGCAACTTTTTGACGCAGATTCTGGTAGGCCAGAAAACGCCTATGAAGCCATCTTGTTCGCCGGGATTCAAAACCCGGGCTTAACTGCCAGTCTTCAGCGACTTTTTGACGCTGATTCTGGTAGGCCACTGGTGGATTATTTGTTTTTGAAGGAGGCTACATAATGCGCAAAATGTGTCAGATAAGGGGGAAAACTCTTCACATAGCAATGAATGAGCCTTCTGTATAAAGTCCCTAAATAGGTACAAGTACAGACAGTATTGGGGACACCAAGCGATTTACCATGGGTCAACTGGTTGCGTCCCATACTAACCTAAACTAATTTTCACGCTTTATAACATTTTGCAAAGAAAGGTTGAAGGAGATGAACAACTGAAGCTTTCCAAAGGTTTGCCTACTAGGAAAGCCATTGTTCAATTTACAGGTGTCATTAAGAAGCATTTCTAATGCGCAGCAGTTGATGGCTTGCTGCATAATTCTGATTAATTCATCAGCTGTTTCGAAATGATTAAAGAAAGTTAATAAGTTCTCTGTCATCGAATACTATTAAAACATATTTTATTCCTTTCCAGATATAATTGCTAAATAAATTTTGAGCGAATTTTTTGGAATGGTAGATAGATGAATTATTTCACCTTATCTCGGTGTAACAAAATATTATTTCTGTCCAATACCTTCTTAGTATCTTTTAGAGTTCTTATATATGAGTACTGAATAAAAAATATGAAAGTGCAAGAAATTATTTCGTTTGTTGGCTTATAGAATAATACATCATTTTTAGAATATGAGCATTTTTGTCACAATTTTTAAATATCTGCGGTTCGTTCTTTGCTTCGTGTGTTTCAAATAAGTTTCTTTTTGGATTACAGGTTTTCTTTCGTGTATTTTGCGCTGGAAACCATTAATTCCACTAAGCAGACTGACTTTTCTTGCCTACATGATACATCCGTTGCTACAGCATACACTGTACGCAACGCTTCGAGAAGGTATTCAAGCAAGAAATCATCTGGCGGTATGTATTATACGTATTTTAAAGTCTGCATTATTTGTCAGCTCTGGATGCGTGTAATTTTTTTAAAATTTATTATTGAAGCAAAATTCAATCTTATGCTGACTTTACAGAAAATATACAGTTACAGAAAATACGAATATTTCGAACCAGGAGACATGAAAAATAAGTAATGCCCTTGCCATGACTCGAACCTCTCGAATACGTGCCGAGTGTGCTGACTATTACACCACGAAGGCACGCTAAGAAGGCGGGGGCAGTACCTTATATACTCCCCCTTTTAAAGATCGACTGGGGATTAGGGGACCCATTCGCCAAATCCTGGTGGTGAAGAATCAGCATCCACCACCTTTTTTAATTCGGGTGTCACTGTAGAGTTATTAGGTTATTTTCGATGTCAAGAAGCTGAAAAATATGCAATGCCTTCGTTGGGGCTCGAACGTCTGACCTCTCGAATACGCGCCGAGTGTGCTGATCGTTACACCACGAAGGCACGCTAAGAAGACGGAAGAAATACCTTATAACTTTCTTTCTTGAAAATGGGCTCTGAGCTCATTTTCTTTGAAATTTATGGTGCTTCTTTAGGAAATTGAAACCGATGCCGTTCTATGGTCGAATTTTGCATAATTTTGATCATAAATATGTGCTAAATACTTATGCTACCTGCAATTGTCTTCTTCCTAGCAATATAAAGTTAAATAAGCTGAGAACAATATATCAACAATGTTTAAACAACATTATTTGCATTAGTTGCAACTACATTATATTTTTTTCCTCTTTGTTTTAGGTATTCGTATATTTAGGATTCGTAACTGGCAGTTACATCTTGGCTGCTGTTTTGTGTTTGTTGTTAGAAGCGCCTTTCATAAATCTTGGAAAAATAATATTTCAAACGAAAACGAAACAAGACTCTTCTGGAAAGAGAAAAGATTCAATGGACCATGTCGAAGCTAGCTGGAAATCTGGACCACTACCCCAAATAGTGAGTGATGCCGGAAAAATTAACCGTGACATTAATTATTGTCATAACAGTGAATCTTTGGGAAAAGACACTGGAGATGGTTTTATATGTCATCTTTAGCTTCCAAACAATTTTTGGCAAACAAAAGTTAAGTTTATTGAAAGCGTGCCAAAGTCGATCCTTGATGGTGCTATTCAAATATAGTTCGGGTGAAAATTGCAACTAAAATCTTCATTCACAATATGAACTTTATATATGACCAAAGATCATCAATAATCTGCTTCCTTTTTGCACTTGCTATTTTATTTAGGTTCCGAATATTAAAATTCTTCGCAGATATCTGTAATAAAAAACTATTTAATGTCTACTAATTAATCTTTAAAATTCAAACGCAAATTTGAATAGAAGTGAAGATATTTCTGAAGTTGAAAATAACATTTGCTACAGATGTGTTTCATTTAATCGAAACTTAGCATTTTTTTAATGGATTTTTCGATTAAAATATTCCTTTTTATTTCTCCCACATATAGCAAAAATTGAAACAAGTAAGAATATAGATATTCTTTAAGAACTTTAACGGTGTGATTCAATATATATCATATTAAATCATGATAAAAATCAACTATCATCTATGGTAAAAAGCTAAAACTAATATATCAAAATAAACATAAAGTCGACGCCGATTTATTGTGACATGCTTATTCACAAAGCCTACAGACCGTTTCTACTGCTGTTTGCTCCGATTGGTTAAAATAGGAAACGTAGGGTTACAGAACCTAGTGCTTGGCGACTTTTGGTTCATCTCCTTTAGAATTTGTATTTAAGCGTGGTGTACTAAAAATTGTACTTAGCTCAATGGTAACGAGCGCGGAAAAAGTTCTCAGACTTCTAGATCGCCGGTTCTATCCCTGCTCGTAGCTTTCATAAACTGTGCTCTACACGGATTGAATTTTATGTTAACATTATTGAATGACTTCGTCATTATTTCTTTGGGTTGCGGTGTTAAAAATTAAACGACTTTGTTTCCTCTATTTTTGTTAATTTTTCTATTTTATTTACTGGTTTGTACTCTTTGTAGTAGGTACCAGTAGCAAGATTACGATCCAAGATCCCGAAAAGCGTTTCAATAGAAATAGCGCATAATGGAATAAAATATACTTTTAGTTATACTTACTTTTCATAATTTAGGTAAAAAAGAATAGGTATCCGACGCCCTTAATGTTTACTGAATGTTTTCATTTGGTTTTTTTTTTTAATATTCCTTTATTTGTATAAATTAATGCGCTATGGAAATTTACACAACAAGCTCTTTCTAACAGAAATGACGAAAGAGTGCATATGCTATCTCCATGTAAACACCTTTTTCTTGTAAAACAATTACGTACTTTTAAAAGTTTAAATTCGAATACAAATAAACTATTAATAAGATCAGTAAGTTATATAAAATATATTCCGCACAATTCTTCCAAGCTTTCATTCATAAACTCAAAAAAATATCGAATGAAATAAAACGCTGTTTCCGTTTGTTCAGCGTTAATTACCACGCCTACAGGGCGATAACTCGCCATTCCAAACATGACCGCCAAGCAGATGTTTCACCAATGAGAGCAGACCTTAGAGAAATGGTCTGTAGGCTTTGTGAATATGCTTGTGACATGGTTTGATACCTTAATATCCTGGTCTAGTTTAGCGTTTAACGCAATTATTTGAAGTTTCACTTTAAAATTCATAAAAATGCAAAATATCAGTATAATACTTTTTAATGACTTAGTTTTATTAATATAAATTACGTGACAAAGACAATCATTTTCTATATTTCAATATTTTCATTTTTCTGCACATTTGATACTAATAAAGAGCTAAATAAATTAATGAATACTAATATACAATTAACGTACAAAATGACAGTAATGCTTCTGAGAAAATAGCCGAACATTTAATCTAAATAACAAACCTTCAAATATTTATGAAAATTGCTCTCATAACTGTTATTAAATATATCTGTGCTGCATAATGAATCATTATTTTTTCCTACCATATTTTAAATGGCTAAAAAAACTTTTATAAGTCGCCCTAGGCTCTGTTTCTAGCGGCTAAACAAGCTAATTTTATGAGACTAAAATGGTTTTATCCATATTTAACCAAAAAGTAAGCTAGTTTCCTTTAAAAAGATCTTTTTATGAAAGCGTCTTCTCTTCGGCAAAATCTCTTTGGTATTTTGATGTAATTAGTGAACTCATTTCTATATTCCTTTACTGCTTAGTTGCCCACGAAGGTATCCCTCCCCTTAGGCAGAATAGCCCTTGCATGCTTTGCCATAATTAAATAAACCAAACAAAACAAAACCAAAAAAAAAAAAAAAAAAAAAAAAAAAAAAAAAACCTATATTCCTTTATAATATTTTTAAAAATTCAAGAATAAGACATTTGTTAAAGACAAAGGCTTCATCGCCTAATACCATGAAATATAATCGAGTGATCAATATATTTCCTGCATTTTTTGATGAATCTTTTATCTTTCGGTATAGTATCTGTACCTTTTGTTTTATATCTATTCTCTCGAGTTCAACCGTGTCTTTCGTATTTGTTTCATCCAATCCATTGTTGCTAAACAAAGATAATTTCAGCAATTTCTTTGGCACAATCATCATTTAGTAGCTATAACATTTATCATTTCTTCAAACACCTCAAAGTCTTCCTTCTAAATTTTTGCAGCTGCTGCGCGGGAAACAATGGATTTGTTGCTTATTTTGTGCCAATTATCTGAAACCAGTTGTGGTGTTTGTTTACATCAGAACTTTCTGAAAATACTAATAATGAACTTGCTAGATATTTGAAACGTAGTATATACTACAGCTGATAAAATATACATTGTTAACAGCTGAAAAGAACTTTTAATTTTTTTAAAACATCCAGAATTTGATGACTTGTGCGTCGCCGGCCTGGTGCACGGCTACCAAGGAGGATATAAAAAGACTTCAAATCATGCAAAACAAAGTCTTAAGGCTTATCACCCATGCTCACTTTTTTGTGAGCAATGCTACACTGCACTGTGACTTAAAACTGGACACTCTAGAAGAGCACCTGAATAAGATCAACAGGAAATTCTTCACGAAAGCTCTGAACTGTGACCATATGAGAAATTTTGATATCTTTACCTACGAAATATTGAATGAGGACGCCAAACTGCGCCCACTTGCGGCCCACCTTATCAGGGACCCGAACTTTCCCCACCTAGTGCCCACCTGTAAATGATGTACCCAATGTGTTTATTAGCATTCTTAATTTGTATTTTACTCATTATTGTACTGTGTATTTCTTAAATTCTCTAGTTTTTATTCACATTCTACACTCATTTTATGACTCCCACTTAGTCACGCCTTTACCGGGCCGGTTACTTGCTTGTGAGCTCTTGCGTTGCTGGTCTTCCTATTCTTTATCCGTCTTTCTCCTCCTTACTGCGGACATTATGTGAAGATAGTTCTATGTTATTGTGCCCACCCGGCATAAATTTGATTGAGCCAGATAAACTACTGATCTCAGTGGTATTCTGGCTATAAGTTATCAGTCAGTCAGTCCTGTAATGTGAATACGAGCCAATATTCCTAGAAAATCCTTTGCAAAGGAAGACTCCTGCTACGAGAACAGCTACCGTGCGTCGTGCCATAATCAAATAACCTAACTTAATCTAACGTATTAAAAATAAATAAATAAAAATTAAAATAAAAGAATACATTGTATACACTTATATAACCAAAATGATGCCAAGTTAGTCAATGTCTATTTAAATCAGAATAGATTACATGCATCTAAAAATGCATATATGATCACTTTATTGTGCCATGACAAAAACAGTGCTATAATGCTGATTTATTAACTTGTATATAAATTAAGTTCTGTGTTGAGGATGAGCAATTGGAAGTAATGACTATGTCAAGTTATTGATTGCTAATAAATCATTCTAGAATCAGTCATAGAAATCTTAACAAATGGTGTGCTGAATATTGTGTGCTTGCCAACGTACGTTTTTTAAGCATTTATAGGAAGTTAATGCTTTTCAAGTCGGTGTATTTACAAAATAATTTTTGCGTTTACTAAAGCCCCCAAACAAGCTAAGCCATAAGTTAATGGATCAGAGTTTCCAAAATACTGAAACAGACACGGTATAATGATTTTATTTAATAAAATACAATTAAAGAAATACAAATACCAATATTTTGAAATAAATGAAGTGGCTTGACAGATTAATTGATTAGAAGTCTGTTAATAAATTTATATATATGTATAATATTAGTTTAGGGTACTTTTCCGTTTTGCCGGCGCAGGCGATAAAGTCGCCAATAACGGTACAAATGATGCCAAACGGAATATCCTCGCTGGTTCTGTATGTTGTCGCCAATAAAGTTTGCTTGGCGAGATTTGCGCAGGCGAAACAGAAAAGTACCATTAGTTTTTCTTTGTAATTAATTTTGAGATATGAATTATTTTTAGAACATAAATCACAACTGCTGTAGTAAATATAAATATCTTTTACATTAAACATTAAAGTTTATAGGAATTTCATATTTTTAACTGCACGATAATTTCAAAATGTATGAAAAGATACTTTAAATAAGTGCACTTTTCCTATCTGTGTATAATCGTAGCTATCACGTTGTGAAGGTGTGTGTGTGATTTTGGCAAAGCCTCGAGGGCTATCTGCCTAAGGGGAGGGATGCCTTCGTGGAGGACTTGCTAAGGGAAACTGGCTCGTATACACGTTACACATGGGGAAAACCACGAAAACGCCCATGCAGCCAGCCCGTTCGCGGGATTCGAACCTCGGACCAAACTACCAGTGTTCAGCGACTTTACCGCTCGGCCGCTGGTGGGCCCACGTTGTGAAGGTTTTAGTGCGTTATGTTAAAATATATAATATTAACATATAACAAAACGCATAATTTTTAAAGTAATTTTCATTATTTTGTAATTATGTAAACATTTAAATACTGTCATCAGACCTGCTGCAGTTTGTCTCTTATATGGTTTCTATTTACAAAATGAAGACAAAATAAAAGGGTCTCATTTAAGAATGAGCAGAAGTTCTGAAGCTGTAGATATGTATACAAATTACATACTCATGTATTTATTTTACCTGTTGTTTTGCTGTTATTTTATTATATTTTTGCTGTTATGTTTATTATATTTGATGTTTATACTCGTATTTAATCGATGTTCCGTTTGTTATCTTGGTGTGGATTTAGTTCTTGCAATAAAACAGTTTTTTCCAATGTATTTGAAAGCGTTTAATTTTATCATCGAGTTTATAACAGTCATTACCCTAAATTTCAAACAGTTGTGACGATTTTACATGAGAATTCCAGTGTATATGAACAGATACAAACACAAATACTACAGAAGTAAAATTCTGTGTTTTGCGCTGTGTGTGTTCCAACATCCTTTAAGGGCTGTTGGGATTCTGTGTTTCCAACATCCCTTAAAACTGTGAAAAAGTAGTTAAATTAGGAAAAACATTATCAGAACCATTTTTCATTAAAAATGTTTCTTTATGTTAAATTATGCACAAAAAATTAATACTATTAAACGGAAAAGAAATGTTTATGTGCACATGACCTCATATAACAAATGAATTCTAAAATTTACAAAAGTGGTTCAGGAAATAATAAGAAACTGGAGCAATATTAAAAAATAAAGTTAAAAAGGAAAACTCTAGCGATCTGACATTTATATTCCAATCTAATATCTAAAAGGCCGGAATTATAGAAACGGAATTATGGAAAACCGTTCCAGTCAGACTTGAGGTTTTTACTTGTTTCTGTCATGTCCTTACCATCTATGTAAACGTATACATTTTATGGATCTGTCAACTAATTACATGATCTTTTGTTTTGAAATGTGAACATTTTATTGATAGTCATAATGCCCTTGGTTGCGTTTAGCATGAAATAAATTTTATTTCCATCCATAGTTATGAAAGATCATGAGACTGAGTACTGGTATCTAATCTGTAGAATCTGTACTTACTGTCTAGGAATATGATGTTTGTAAACTTACTTCCGATGTGGCTGTCTAGGGGCTAATAAACTAGTCCGATTTATGTAAAACTTGAATATTTAATGAAA